CTTCCTTATCCTTTGTGGTGGGTTTTACTTTAAAGGCTATTTTGTCAGAGATTAATATTGCCTCTCCTACTCTTTTCTGAGTGTTGTTTGCTTGATATATTTTTTTCCATCCTTTGAATTTTAGTTTGTTTGTGTCTTTAAGTGTAAGATGTGTCTCTTGTAGGCAGCATATAGATGGATTGTGTTTTTTAATCCATTCTGCCACTCTCTGTCTCTTTATTGGTGCATTTAGTCCATTTACATTCAGCGTAATTATTGATAGGTATGAGTTTTAGTGCTGTCATTTTGATGTCTTTTTTTTGTGTGTTGTTGACAGTTTCTTTGTTACACTTAATTTTCTGTGCTGAGTCGTTTTTCTTTATGTATTTTCTTTTCATCTTTCTCATTGTTGTTGATTTTGTGTTTGCTGAATCTTTATGTTTTTCTTGTTTTTTTATTTTGATATGCAGGGTTGTTAGTTTCCTTTGTGATTACCTTAATATTTACCCCTGTTTTTCTAAGTTTAAACCAGTCTTTTATTTTTTTGTGTCACCTTATCTTCCTCTCCATATGAAAGATCTAGGACTACATTTTTTTAGTCCCTCTTTTTTGTTTTAATGTTGTCATCTTTTACATAGTTGATGTTGCTGTTTCCCCATTTTCAGCATTTTAGCTTTGATTTGTTTTTTTGTTTTCCCTATCTGGGTTGATATCTGGTTGCTCTGTCCTGTGTTCTAGTCTTGGGTTGTTATCTGATGTTATTGGTTTTCTAACTGGAGGACTCCCTTTAGTATTTCTTATAATTTTGGTTTGGTTTTTGCAAATTCCCTTAACTTCTGTTTATCTGGAAATGTCCTAATTTCGCCGTCACATTTGAGAGACAGTTTTCCTGGATATATAGTTCTTGGATGGCAATTTTTTTCTTTCAAGGCTTTATATATGTCACCCCATTGCCTTCGGGCCTGCATGGTTTCTGCTGCGTTGTCTGAGCTTAGTCTTATTGACTCTCCATTGTAGATGACTTTTCATTTATCCCTAACCGCTCTTGAAATTCTCTCTTTATCTTCGTTTTTGGCAAGTTTGATTATAATATGTCTTGGTGACTTTCTTTTGGGATCTACCTTGTGTGGGGTTCGATGAGCATCTTGGATAGATATCTTCTCATATTTCACAACATCAGGGACGTTTTCTGCCAACAAGTCTTCAACAATTCTCTCTGTATTTTCTATTATCCCCCCCGTTCTGGTCCTCCAATCACTTGTAGGTCATTCCTCTTGATAGAGTCCTACGTAATTCTTAGAGTTTCTTCATTTTCTTGAATTCTTTTATCTGATTTTTCCTCAAATGAGTTGGTGTCACGTGCTTTGTCTTCAGTCTCACTAATTCTGACTTCCATTGCCTCAATTCTGCTCCTCTGACTTTCTATTGAGTTGTCTAATTCTGAAATTTTATGTTAATCATCTGGATTTCTGTTTGCTGTCTCTCTATGGATTCTTGCAGCCTGTTAAATTTGTTATGCTCTTCTCTAATCTTCTTAAGTTCCTCTATTGCTTTGTCTGTGTGTTCCTTGGCTTGGTCTGTGTTTTGCCTGATCTCTTGAAAAGTTCTGTATATTAATCTTCCACCTCTGGTAATGCCAAGAAGTTCTCGTGCTCTGGAAAATTTCTTGATTCTTTGTTTTGGGAGCTTGCTGAATTCATCATGATCTGCCTCTTTATGTAATTTGATATTGACTCTTATATCCGAGCCATCGATAAGTTATTATGTTTATTTATTTAACATTTGCTTACTGTGTCCTAGCTTCTTACTTTGTTAGTTTTGATATATCCAGATAGGCTGCTTGTGTGAGCTAGTTTGATTATGGGCGGGCGCCTTTGAAGTTCTAATGTCCTGTCACCAGGTTGTTAGATCTGTTATTAGGTATGTGAGCCGCTGTGTTCGTTTTCTTTCCTTGTATCGATTCAGCTCAGGTGTCCAGGTAGTCGGTTACCAAATGTGTGGTACAGGCTCTCATCTACAGTCCTAGACGGACGGGGCTGATTGGTTTAGGCACAGGTATCCGGCTGCAGTGAGGGGTCACGCGCTGAGCAAGGCAGAGGTCTGATGGCTGCCCCTGAGTGTCTGGGAGGGAAACGTTTCCCTGTTCCTTAGAGCACGTAGGTGGGTGGGTTTTGCAGTTGGACTATGGGTACCCAATGCTGTTGGCGGAAAGGATTGGGAGGCACCACTTATTCTTGGACCCCTGTCACAGGTGGCTAGGTGGAATGGGTGAAGCCACCAGTCCTCAGGCCCCTGATGTGGGTAGGGGAAGACCCTGCTTAATTGGTAGAGTGGTGTCAAATGTCACCAACTTGCCACCCCACCATATAGCTGATACAGCTGAAGTTAGGCTTCAGGTATATACTCTGTTGTACTGTGCTAATGAGGGCCTACGGTGTTGAAATGGGCCCACACAGGTCTGCGCAGGGGGTAAAAGGCATTCAAAGTCCGTGGACCCCTTATGCCTGTACCTAGGTAAAGGAGCTGTGCCTATCCTAAGTTCCCAGCTTAGAGGAGCTGGATTATTCCTGTTTGTTACTTTGTTCCCTTGCCAAGGCCAGGAGAATGGCTCAGGGTGCATGATGGGTCCTTACTTCTAACCCAGGGGATGCGGTAATGGCTGAAGCTGGCCTGGGAGCTGATGCAGAGGGAGGAGGGGGCATGTAAATGGGAGAGAGGTTTTTTCCAAAGGGGGTGTTTTTTGATCCACGCGATAGGTTAGACGCATGTACTTATCTTTTGCCGATGAAGCACCGGTTTTCACTGGTTCTGGGGGCTTGAATAGACTCTCCGCCACTGGATCTCTCCTGATGTGGAAAACGTGTCCTGAGCGCCACTGCTTGCTTCACCTTACGCGCCAGCTGCAGGGTGCTGGTTCCTGCCGGGTCAGGTCTGGTAGCTCCTCACTGCTTCTGAACCGTCTTTCCTTCCCCCTGCCACTCAGTCCAATTCCTCAGCTTTGCCTTTGGTATTCACAGCTCCTAAATTGTCATATATAATCAGTTCGCTTGTTTTCTCGGGTCTTTGTTGTAAGAGGGACCACAGGAAGTGTCTGACTACTCCTCCATCTTAGTCCTGACTCTCCAAATGAATATTTTTAATAAATATAATGTTTTAGGGAGAAATACACAGACTTGTGTAGAAAAATTAAATACAGAAAAATTATACAAAATCTCAGTAGTTAGCGTTCTGATGAGCATTGTTCCAGACCCCTAATATGTGTGTAATTTTACATAACAAGATTATACTGTACATTGGTTTTTCTTTTTAATGTTTCTTAAGAAGTCAAAGGCTAATGATTAAAGGAAGTTAGTACAGATCCTTAGAAATGAATATTTATTTCCTGAGTGGTGGAGTTCTGCTGAGTAACTGGGAAAACAATGGAGGAGACATTGAAGGCACTCCTCTGTTTCAGCAGACAGCAATTTTTAGAAGATAACTCTCAGGGGAAGTGATAGAATCTCACACATATGAAACTAAAAAATGGATCCATAATAGCAGTAGAAATGATGCCACAGGGAATAATCTTGCATTAGCAAGCAGATAGACTTGATACACAGATGGGATTTCCCATTTCTGTTTGCCATTCTTCCAAGACAGAAATGGCAGTTTATCATTTTGCAACCTTGATAGTAGTCTGTGATTCAGGCAGGTATCATGAGTAGATGCTTAAAGTCCGGGGTGAAAGTATGACATGGTATAGAATATTTATGTAGTCTCAAAGTATACTCCCACATGTTATTACCAAGAACAGTTTTAACTTCACAATGAAGAAATCTGTCAGACACCACCTTTACCAAGATATCAAGGTTAATTTCACTAAAAAATGGAACAAATTGAGGTCATGTGCCTCCTGATATGATGCACTTATGTAATGTTCCTGTCAAAATGTATGTCCTGAATCAGTTCACGAGGAAATATCAGACCATCCGAAAGAAGGGACATTCTACAAAGCTGGCTTGTATTCTAAAACGTCAGTGTCAGGAAAGGCAAAGAAAGGTTGAGAAACTCTTCCAGGTTAAAGGAGAGTAGAGAGACATAGTAACTAAGTATAATGGATACTTCTGTGAGAACTTGTTTTCCCTTCTCCCTGTTTGTTTATTATCTCTATGTACTAACGGATTTGTATTTTTTTCCCCTCAATAAAAAACAAAAAACAAACCCGTTGCCGTCGAGTTAATTCCGACTCATAGCGACCCTATAGGACAGAGTAGAACTGCCCCATAGAGTTTCCAAGGAGCACCTGGTGGCTTTGAACGGCCAAACTTTTGGTTAGCAGCCATAGCACTTAAACACCAGGGTTTCCTTCCCCCCCGACAGTGGATTAAGATCCATTACTGTCATTATTCAATTTGTTGTTCAGATTGTCTCAGAAGTTGTCATTGGGCAGTACTTCTTTTTACATTTTTCTTTCACCTATTTGATATGACCCCATTGTTGTTCATAGACAGTCGGCATCAACAGAGTCTTGGGACGTTTGATATAAACGTTTAACAGTATATAACATGCTATTATTTAAAAATAAAAGGTATAACGTACATGGCTTTGGAGTACTTTTTTTTAATATTCACCAAGGTCATAGACATCTTTCCATGGTAATAATCATACTTTTATAGTATCCCTTTTTTTATACAATGTCGGTCTACTATAATTTATTTAATCATTTTCCTGTTAGTGTAAGTTAACGTGATTTTTCACTGCTGTAAGCCGTTTGTGATAAATTTCTTTGTATATGTCTTTTATACTTGTGCTATTATCTCCTCACGGTAGATTTTCTTAGATGTGTCAAAGGGTATGCACATTTTATGTGTTGGTAATATGGTTAGGCAGTTTCCTTGAATGGAATTTTATATTACCTTCAATTGAGAGGACCTATTTCTAGGTCAGGGATTTTAACAGTACCTATAATCCTGTGATTAAATAAGGCGAACTTGATCATTCCTTTTTTAATCACAATATTTTTGTCATTTCTTCTGGTTCAGCTTTTAAAAGCAGTGCATCTCCAAGGTCATGAGGGACCCGTTTATTCAGTGTGTGCTGTTTACCAGAGGAGGGCATCCGACGTCACATTACACACACTGATCGTTTCTGCGGCTTCGGATTCTACTGTTCGAATCTGGTCTAAAAAGGGTTCAGAAGGTAGGTTTGGGAATAAGTTATAACTCAGACAAATAAAATAGTAATTATCAAATGAATAATAACTAAAAAAGCATACATTTAAGTTTTCCATGCTTTCAGGTAGCTTTATAAATGTTATGATTCTGTTTTTTTTTTTAAATATATATATGATTTATTTTATTTTTTGTTGAGAACGTACAAGCAGAACATACACCAGTTCAACAGTTTCTACATGTTCAGTTCAGTGACATTCATTACATTGTTTGAGTTGTGCAACCATTCTCATCCTCCGTTTCTGGACTGGTTTCCACCCCCGTTAATTTAAACTCACTACCCCTAAGTTTCCTGTCTAGTCTTTTGGGTTGTTTTTGTCAGTTTGATCCCATATTGATAGATCATAAAAGAGCACAATGCTCAAAGCAGACATTCTTTACTAGTTAAGCTAAACTATTGTTTGGTTTTAAGAACACTTCAGGGATATTTTTGGTTTAAGATTTAAAATGTTATATAAGTATTTATTGTTTCTTTTGTACTTCTTCAGAATTTCTCTACACCAAACTATTTGTTAATGTAAAATTTCTTCTGTGCTTTTTCATATGTCATTTTGATCATTATAACCCTGTTAAAAATTGGCCATTTTAATTTACATAATCAATGGGGTTTATGTTTGTGGGGAATAATCCTCACCTCACAGATAGTTGTTGGACTTTTCTTCTGCCTGTCAGCTCAGGATTGACTCTTATCTCCCTGCTGATACCCAGGTCTGTGATGATGCTACCCAACCCCTCTAGGTGGATAAACTGAGTTACTTGTTCATGATGTTTTATGTTATATCTTAGTGACATGCCTTCAGACCTTGGACTTTGGGAATGGATTTGGTCTGGCTCTTTCCTTGTCTTTTTTGCCTAACACTGATGGTGAGTATTCTGCCAAGTATTAAAAAATGTATATTTGTATATTTAAAAGAAATTTATTGGTCTCAATGTTGTATCTAAATGTTTTCATGAAACAAGAGGTAGCTAACATAGCTTTTGACTCAGTACTTAAATGATTTGAATATAGAAAATAGTTAAGGGTAGTTACTAGAAATTTTGGTAGCTGTTGAAAATTTAAGTGACTTAATAGATACTCAGGGTTGATATTGTTATTTGTGAAATATATTGTGAATGTATATAGATCTAATTTGGGAAAATTATTTAATTCTTTAGAAAGTGAAGGTATAGGGTAAGTTAAGAGACAAAAAATACTGAAGATGGACCATGTGAGCATCTCTCTCAAGATCACAGCCCCTTCACATCCTGCATGTTGACACTTTGCCTAAGACCACTTAAAATCTCCAAACAAAAATTTCCCTTTTGAAGTCAGCACAACTGGACTAAAGCAAAAGCTAAGAAGTTTCCTGAATATAATCAAACACTTTGAGGGACAGAGTAGCAGGGGTGGGAGTCTGTGGACCATGGTTTCAGGGGACATCTAGGTCAATTGGCATAACAAAGTTTATTAAGAAAATGTTCTGCATCCCACTTTGGTGAGTGGTGTCTGGGGTCTTAAAAGCTAGCGAGCGGCCATCTAAGATGCATCAATTGGTCCCAATCCACCTGGGGCAAAGGAGAATGAAGAACACCAAAGACATAAGGAAAATATTAGCCCAAGAGACAAAAGGGCCACATAAACCAGGGACTTCATCAGCCTGAGACCAGAAGAACTAGATGGTGCCTGGCTACCACTATCGACCGCCCTGACAGGGAACACAACAGAGAGTCTCTGATGGAGCAGGAGAAAAGTGGGGTGCAGAACTCAAATTCTAGGAAAAAGACCAGACTTAATGGTCTGCCTGAGACTGGAGGGACCCCAGAAGACAGGACCCCTGGACTCTCTGTTTGCCCAAAACTAAAACCATTCCCGAAGCCAACTTTTCAGACTAAGATCAGACTGGACTATAAGACATAAAATGATACTTGTGAAGAGTGTGCTTCTTAGCTCAAGTAGATACATGAGTCTAAATGGGCAACTTCTGTCCAGAGGCGAAATGAGAAGGCAGAAAGGGTCAGGACCTGGTTGAATGGACACGGGAAATCAGGTGGAAAGGAGGAGTATGGTGTTACAGTATGGGGAGAGCAACTAGGGTCACATAGCAGTGTGTCTAAAGTTTTGTATGAGAAACTAACTTGAACTGTAAACTTTCATTTAAAGCACAATAAAAATAAAAAAATTTCAAGGCAAGGCAAGGCAAAGCATGGAATAGCTACAAATAAAAAAAAATTTTTTTCCCTTTTTCAGTGCAACCCATCTGTACCTATTTTTATTATCTGCCACAAACATGATAGCCAGTGTGAGTCCGTCTCTTTGTCTCCTCAGTTACATAACCAGGCTTGGTGGAGAGAGACAGGGCTTGGAAGCCCCGGCTTCTGTTGTCCTCTGTGGCAGGAGCTGTGGTTTCATGTTGCACTTCTACTTTGTGTGAGGGCTTCCGGCGAGGAGGAACTGCACAGCTTCTAGTTTTAAAACAAAACAATTTCTTTCCCTCTATCTTGATGCCAAGGGATTTTTTGTTGTTGTTGTTAAGCTGAAAAATATACTTAGTATCAATGAATTTTTTTTTACTTAGGAAAAAAATCCCCTTTTTTATCTGTAAGCCACAGTCATCAAGGCTGTCCTTTGCTGTTGTAAATTCCTTTTCTATCTTAACTAAAGAAAACTAATTTTACAGTTGTACTTTTTCTAGCTTTTTAACCATATATTTAATTACATGCTTTTTTATTTTGTTCTCTAATTGCTTTATGAATTTTGGTTTTATATTGAATTCTCAAACGAAATGTAAGGTCCTTGAAGTAACAAACATCTTATACCCTTAAATTTTTGTGCAACAGCCATGATGCTGGATTCCTAGTAGCTCTTTTGTTTTATTATTCAGTCATACTAACAACTTTTCATCTTGATCTTCTGACTTACACAGTGAAAATGCTCCTTACCTGCCTCAGAGCTTCTCTTTCGCTGCTCATAAGCGACAGAAAATGGACTAAAGGATTCTCAGTTTATTAATAGTCATTCTATGCCAAGAAACCATTTAATAGAGCAGGTTAGAGTGTTGATTTTATTCCACTTTGTTTGCTCAGTGATGTGGGAAACAGAAGTCAGGATTCTTTGCCTAGCACCTAGAATCCAGCATAGGTAGTAGATATTCATAGCATGTGATGGAATACTTAACAGTGAAGCCTCTTTTTCTCCCCCAGTACCAATATTAGCATGTGGTGATGACGACTGCAAAATTCACTTATTTGTTCAAAAGAATGATCAGGTAATCAACTATGTTTAATAAGAGACTAGAATCATGTTCTTATTAATTACATATCTCAATTATTTCCAGATTATAAAATTTTAAACAAAAATAGTCTAATTGGAGAATCTTTTGAGAGTCCTCTGATAGATGACTTCCCCACTGTCTGTTGGAACACCATGTAACTGATGCTTAAGCCACCAAGCTCAGACTTGTTTAGGGGGAAAGAGTCATTAGGTGGAGGAAGGAGGATACATGGTAGTGTTTTTTTTTTTTTCCCCTTTAAAATTTTTATATCAAGTATAATATACTTACAGTGAAGTACCCCCTGTTAATTCTTAAAAATTTTAAACGAGGTGAAATACAAATATAGTGAAATGCCCCCTGGTAGTCTTTTATTTGCCTTTATGAGCTTTACCTGTACTTGGAGTGGTTAAACTAAATAGGGTAGCATTTGTTTCAGAAAGTGAGTTGGTTAACTCTGGGCTCATTTATGTAATAATGGGGTTACTTGTTTCTTTGCATTCTATAAGAAAGTTAAAAATGTGAAACTACCCAACTTTTCTTCTATATTGTGTCCTCACTATGTCATTTTACCTCGTAAGCATTTAGAGTATTTAAGGTCTACAGATGTTATCTACTCAGAGTTGCTCAGCTAGATGATTTAGATGTTATATTACGAGGTTTTTCATTCCCAATTGAATGCTTTATCCGATGTCTAATCAGGTAGTGTTCCCCAATAAAAATCGATGCAGTAGGGCTGGCTGAGACCAGTCACTAATATGACTGAAGTCATTAATATTTATGAAAATGTTAAATTCTCATATTAAGCCTGATGATTTTTGTTATCTTAATAGTTTCAGAAAGTGCTTTTTCTCTGTGGACATGAGGATTGGATAAGAGGCGTGGAGTGGGCAATCTTTGGTCAGTATGAAATTTAGCTAAGGCACATATGCTGGGTACAAGTATGTGTAACTTCCAAGAAAGCAGCCTCTTATGTTTTAATTTTTAAATTTTCTTTGTGCATTACTTTTTTCTATTGTCTCAATTAGAAAAGAGGTTACTTATCTACTATTAACTATTATTTGAGGTGGTAGAGGATGGAGCAAGTTGATGTTTCTAAGACGACACTAGCAGACATTCTTGAAAAGTTCTTTGTATAGTATATAGACTGTATATAAGAGTACCACTTGTTATAAACATTTATTAGTGTTGTATGTATATTTGCTAATGTTATTAAAATGAATGTAGGTCAAATATGTGAAGAGTAAGGAAGCAATGGCTAATTTTTTTTGGAAATCTAGAAATGTGCAAATTAGAGGAGAGAAAGTCTTATACCTAAGTTTAAGAATATAATGTTTTTAAAGTAATAAAATTTGTTTTTATATTTAGGTAGAGATCTTTTCCTAGCAAGTTGTTCGCAAGATTGCCTGATAAGAATATGGAGGCTGTATATAAAATCGACATCTTTAGAAATTCAAGATGATGATAATATAAGACTGAAGGAAAACACTTTTACTATAGAAAATGAAAGTGAGTAATAATGAAAATATTTGAGGTAGCTATACTTGAATCTCTTAGCTGGTTCATATATCTGTTTCATCAAACACTTCTGTGAGGGTAAGTTTGTCAGACATGTCAGATCCCTGCCTAAAACTGATAACATGAATTTTTCTTTTTTGTTTTCTATGTGAAGATCAGTCATTTTTCACTTATGAAACTTAATTTTCTTATGAACAATTACAAGATTTTTAAAAATTGCTGAAAATATATAATGTTCTTTCAGTATATTAATGTTTTAATTGTTAACAAATTTTCAGTTTTCTCATGGTAACACCTTATTTTAATCCTTTTTTACATATAATTTTTTGAAATCTCATTAATCTTAAATAGACATAAAGGTATAGTGTGAATTATCCATAGCTTTATTGGAGGATATTCATAAGAGAAAAGCTAAATTCCTACATTTGGGTAGTATATATAATTCTGATTATATATACCCAGTGTGTGGGTCATGGTAGAATGCTGTATTTGAAAGAAATATTTTTGAGTATGTACCTAAATTATAAAGTTAGTCCTCAGTGAGCAGTGTTCATTGTGGTATACTGTTCTTTCTTATTCTTCTTGATTATAAAGTCCATTACAGTTGAGATTCTGGTAACATAGTTCTAAAGGAGTGATCCAAACAATACTATAATCCGCACATTATGGGCAGCTATACCCAAATATGAAATTTTTCTTGGTATTTTCATTCATTATTTTATTTGAAAGGTCAAAGTACTGATTTGGTTTCCTTTATTTGTGCATTTCTCTTATGATTTTTTTTATGGTATTTTAGACTATTACGCTGACAATGAGTGAGGGTAGTAAGGAAACTGGTATATCTGTTTTTGCTTGTTAATTGTAGTGTAACAGTAGCTATTCCAGGAAATTAAAGAAAATAGAGCATATTCCTTAGTATTTATGACCAGATACAGAAAAATGTATCTTTTTTTACCACTTTTTTTCTCCTATACCTTTGAACAGTGGGTGAGTTAATGAAATTTTAGAATGCATATACTTTTTGTTGAATCTAAGCTATCATATTTTGTTTTAATTTTTTTATTTGACTCAGTTTCCACAACTGAGTTGGTTATAAAAATGTTCTTTTTAGAGGCACTTTGAGGAAAGAAAACATTCATTGTTTTTGTTACAGGTATTAAAATAGAATTTGCTGTTACTCTGGAGACTGTCCTAGCTGGTCACGAAAATTGGGTAAATGCGGTTCATTGGCAACCTTCATTTTACAAAGGTAGGAAGAAAGGCACACATGTATTCCTCATTTCAATTAAATGTCATGCATAGCATTTGGGGCTTACCACAGGAAGTGGAGAGTTTTTTTTATAGAGTGTGATAAGAAATCCCAATTATAAGACATTTTCAAGTTCACAAAGCATAATACTGCATCTCTGTCCTTTTGGACACTTAGTTCAGTTGAAAATTGCACTCCTGAGTGGGAAAAGTATGATCCGTGCCATGATATCAAAATGACCACACCCCCATTAACTCTTTCTCTTAAGCTTTATGAGATCTAAGAGAAATTGAAACCAAATTTAAGGGAAACTTTACCCTTGATAATACTGAGCTACATAATTTATGAAAAAGCAAGACTCTTTTTTCTCTTCGTTCTTTGGTACTTAACCACCATGTTTGAAGTGAGAGTTCTGTGCAGACATGACTTGATGCTGGGTTGTAGAGCTGAGCAAGGCACAGCCTCACATTCTTCTCTCAGCCTTCTTCTCACCAGGACAAAAATAGAGAACAACAATAGTAAGTGTTCAGGTTACCACCATTTAGCTCATACTTACATTCTGCCATATTTACTGCAGTTATTTTTTTTTAAATAAATTAGATATTATGGATACTGTGAACCCTGTGTGTCCCTTGCTGATCTCATTTCCCTCCATCCTTCTCCAGAGGTAACTACAGTCCTAAATTCAGTGCACACCCATCCCATGCATTTCTTTATGCTTTTAATGCACATTTGTGTAACTATAAATGTAATCTTATTTTACAGCTATTAAAACTTGATATTAGTAATATCAATTTGTGTTTACCCTTTTACAACTTGCTTTTTTAACTTAACATGTTTTGAAGATGTATCCATGTTGATACATGTAGCTCTTAGTTTATTTGCTTTTATTGCAGTATAATACTTCATTGTCTGATTAAATCATGACCTTTTTATCTCTCCTAATGGTAGGCATTTGTGTTGTTTCCAAATTTTTGCTATTACAAACATGCATCTTGCAGTACTTTTGGCGATTGTGTTTTTTGTTGTCGTTTTTTCTGGTAATTACAAAAATGATGCTTGTGGACCACTTGAAGGCATTAGTTTTTATTCCATAGACGGTGTTCTACAGCAACCAATGAAACTGTTGTCTGCCTCCATGGATAAAACCATGATTCTCTGGGCTCCAGATGAAGAGTCAGGAGTTTGGCTAGAACAGGTAAAAATGTGGATGTTTGTTTAAGGAACAGAAAATTGGGTTTTATAAATTGAATATTTAAATCTCAAATCTGTATTCCTCTAACTGCAAATTTTCACTCTGTGTGTGTCAAATGACGAGGAACTTAAACCATCTCTGGAATCAAATGGCTTCCACCAAGAGCAATGTAGGCTATTGATTGAGAATTGTTTTCTGTCTATTTTTGTGCAGGTTCGAGTAGGTGAAGTTGGTGGGAATACTCTGGGGTTTTATGATTGCCAGTTTGGTGACAATGGCTCCATGATCATCGCACATGCTTTCCATGGAGCATTGCACCTTTGGAAGCAGAATGCAGCTAACCCAGTAAGAAGCGTTTTTAAGTGAAGCATTTCTGGTCAACTACTGTGAATCCTAAATGAAACCGAGCTAAACAGTGTTGTTTTACTTATAACACTCTTCAGAAACCTACTAGAAGCATTTAAGTTCAGGTGATACTTGCTTCTATAGACATTATCCTCTAGTTATACTAGTTAAGAAACTCATGTTTTTCTAACAGTAAAAGTATTTGTTTCTGCAACATCGTTGAGATATTAAAATTTGCACATAGTAAAAAATATTTACACATAGGTAAATTTTCTGCGTAAGTGAAATGTACGTTGGTTTGCTTCCTGGCCAGTGCACCTCATACGCAGCCAGCACCCATCTGTCAGTGGAGGCTTGCATGTTGCTGTGATGCTAAACATTTCAATGGAGCTTCCAGACTAACACAAACTAGGAAGAAAGGTCTGGTGATCTACTTCTAAAAATCACCTAGTGAAAACCCTATGGAACACAGTGGTCCAATCCACAACTGATCTGCCGGACTGGGCAGCATTTCATTCTGTTGTTCATGGGGTTGCCATGAATCAGGAGCTTCTAGAGAGCAGCTAACAACAACAACCCTTTTAAGCTACATAATTTTTTTGATGGATGTTTTCCTAAAATGTATAACTTCCCTGTCTTAAAGAATATAACACAATTTAACATTTTCTTGTTGGACTGCAAAGTGCTCTGTAGTTAGTTATTAAATGAATAAGTAACAAAAGGGCACTAGGATCACCTGTTATTTTTTGGTGGAATATATTGATGCTTTCAAGGGCTGTTGCTATGTGTAATTCTAAATGACACTCCAAATTTTTGGCTCTTTTAGATCTTACACAATTTTTTTTGTCTCAAACAGAGATAGTCTGTCTTCTTCCCATAGTCATGTAGCTGCCTCTCAGCAGTATTCCTTCTCTTATTCTCCAGCTTAGTTCTGATCAGTTTCTTTGGGTGTAGGGAAATTAGACAGCAGGAATATAGTGGCTAAGGGCATGGACCTGGATTCAGATCCTGGCCCCACCACTTACCAGCTGTGTGACTTTGTGAACATTACTTAATCTTTGTCTCCAGGTCCTCGCCTCTAAAATAAGGATAAGAATAGCACCTATTCATAGGGTTTTTATGATGATTAAATAAATGAGTTAATATTTGTAAAGTATGTGAAACAGGTCCTGACACATACTGGATACTGTATAATTTTAAATTAAATAAATGAAAGAAATAAGAATATTGTGTGAAATGTGAGTTAGCAGATTCCAAATGCATCTGATGCTTCCTTTATAAAAAAAAAAATTCATAGATTTGTACAATCTTTAGTTTGTGGGCTTTATAACAGTTGTGTCTGCCTATGTGTTCTGACCCCTCCACACATGAGGTGATTTCCTCTTTCCCTCGTGACCTTCAAGATTGTTTTCACTGTTAAGTGAAGCAGTGAATCATCAGTTAAACGCCACTTTTAAATAAGATGTTTTCTCAATTTCTTAGTCAACTCAGAGCTCCTTTGAGCTGTATTTCAGCTGGTCTTTGAGGGCCTCCATAGAAAAGAGTATCAGATGAGTAAGGAGGAACTCAAAATAAAAGGCAGGATTTCATTGTACTTGTGTGTATAGTTTTGTTTTATTGTTGTAAATATATATGTATATAACAAAACATTTGCCATTGCAACATTTTTTATATGTACAGTCAATTCATTAACATTAATTATGTTTGTATCATGTTGTGTAGCCATTACCACTGTCCATTTTTGTACTTATAATTAGACTTCATATTTATGATAGCTCCTTACCAAGTTTTGAGGGTAATTTTAAAAAACAAATATACCAGGTTCTGTATGTGCAAATAAACACTGCCCTTTACACTGTTATTTTGGAAAAACAATACTGTTAGTCCAAAAGTATTGCCCATTAAAACTTTTTTGAAATTCGCATTAGTTCTAACTTTAAAATCAGTTTTTGTTTCACAGAGAAAGTTAATAGCATTTCTTTGTCACAGCCTTTTTTTGACCAGAAAATAATACAACTTAGTCACTGATTGTATTCTTCGACCTTGGCTTTGAATCATCTTTTGGCTATTTATACAAATTTAATTCTTCTCTAAAGATCAAGTTTTTCCACCAATCAAAGTTGTTCAAAAGAATGCTTTGTGGACCAGGCATTTGACATTTTCTATATTTTGTTGTCAGTTGTTTACATGGTGACTGCAGGCTCCTCAGTAGGTGCGTCAACTAGGTCTGATCCATCTTTCTGTCCTCTACACATACAACTCCTTTTACTTAATAAAGAAAGCTGTCAGGCACACTCTCTGAATCTACTGACCGATTTTAAAATAATACTCTTTCTTTACTGTTTAGTTTAATATATTCTTTATAGTACCTGGAATGTGTCAGCATTGTTCTGCATGCTTCACAAATATAAACTCACATAATCCCCATAACAACCCTATGAAGTAGGTGCTATTACTGTCTCTGTTTTACAGAAGTATTAATTGAGTCACAAAAAGGTTATGTAATGACTGGCTTCTAGGAGTAACTCAATAAGGTTGAAAGATGGAAATTTCCCAAAGTTACTGCTTTAAAGAGTACAACATATATTCGAATGTTTAAGTTCTAATATGCCTGATTGGAAAATGGATCCTGTTTTATGCTTTCAGTATTTTAGATCCCATTCTTAGCTTTTCATCTTGGTAGGGGACTTCAGTCCTTCCCACTATCAAAGATGAGTGCTTTATTTTAAGTGGTGCTGGTCTTTGATAAAATGGTATCTGTCATGAACACTTTTATTGCAGAAAGAGTGGACTCCAGAGATTGTCATTTCAGGACACTTTGATGGTGTCCAAGACCTAATGTGGGATCCAGAAGGAGAATTTATCATTACTGTTGGTACTGACCAGACAACACGGCTTTTTGCTCCATGGAAGAGAAAAGACCAATCACAGGTAAGATGTCTTCCTATTTAACTGATCCACGTTAAAAAACAGTGCTGCACCATTGTTAGCCATTAAACACATTGCCATCAAGTCGTTTCCAACTCACAGTGACCCTATTTGAGCGGAGTAGAACTGCCCCATTGGGTTTCCAAGACTAATTGTTACGGAAGCAGATTGCCACATCTTTCTCCCACAAAGCCACCGGTGGGTTCAAATAGCTGACCTTTTGGTTAGCAGCTGAGCACTTAACCACTGTGCCACCAGGGTTCCTTTGTTAGCCATTAGGAAAATGCAAATTAAGCTATGATGAGATACTTCCACACATCCTCTAGAATGGCTAAAGTAAAAAAAAAAAAATACTGTAACAAGTGCTGGTAAGGATGCAGAGCGACTGGAACTTTTATACACTGCTAGTGGGAATATAAAGCAGTACATCCACTATGGAAAAATAGTTTGGCATTTTAAAAGCTTAAATATACACCTACCATATGACCTTGTAGTCCCACTCCTGAGTATTTACCATAGAGAAATGAACACTTCTGTTCACTCAAAAACCTGTATACAAATGTTCATAGCTGCTTTGTTTATAATCACCAGAAACTAGGAATAGCCGAGATGTTCTTGCAGTAGGTGAGTGAATAAACAAACTGGTATATCCACGCGAGGGAATACTACTCAGCAGTAAAAAATGAAGTAATCATCAAATAAATTAACCTCAAAGACATTATACTGAGTGAGAAGCCAGTTTTAAAAGATTACATACTGTATGACTGCCATCTATGTGACATTCTGAAGAAGAAAAAATTATAGGGAGGAAGAAACAGATCAGTCGTTACCAGGGAGAGAATGTGACTAAAGGGATATCTATCATGAGGGAGTATTTACGGTTGATAGAATTGTTCTGTATCCCAGTTATGGAGGTTGTCACCCAAATCTGTACATGTGTTAAAATTCATAGAGCTTTGTCTCCCAGAAACAGTTGTGCTATATAATATTTTTATTTTTTTAAAGCAGATGTTTAAAACTATTTCTAGAAATCAGGATAGTGGTTATATTGGACAGTGGGAGGAGGTGACTGGGAGCAGGAATGTGGGGGTTTCTGGGATGCTGATAATGCTTATTTCTTGATCTGGGTACTGATGGTATATTTACTTTGTAAAAATTCATCCAGTTGTACACTTGTTAATTAAGCACATTTCTGTATGCATATTATACTTAAGTTAAAAAAAAAAGTTTATTTTTTAAAAAGTTCACTAAAGGAAACTAAAGTTTAGATATACTAGTATCCTTAAATGTAAGGAAAAGAATCTCATTTAAAATAAAATTAAGGCAACTTGACTGTCTTTTGACTGTATATGTGTCAATATACTGGTTGTGGCACTGGGGGAGAAACTGGGTAAAATGTACACAGAATCTCTCTCTATTATTTCTTACCACTGCATGTGAATCTACAATTATCTCAAAATAAAAAGTTCAGTTAAATTTAAATCAAGATACAGGCAACATGGATACTTCTTAAACCATAAAACTGCATTTTCCTTTTTTCTTTCATTCCAGTCTCCCATTCATAAACAGAGGAGAACTTCATTATCCAACTCTGCTTATCAAAACTTGGGAATTGAGTAGATTCAGATATGCTTTTGATAAATTCCTCATTATCCAAACTCTTGCAACTTATAATTCGGAAATCAAATAGTTTTGCATAATGCAGTATCCCTCACTCCTAATTTGCTATTCAAACCAATTTAGAAACCAAATAGATTTTAAAGTGAGAGATAGTTTAGCATAGTGAATATAAGTGTGACCTGTGAAACCAGTCATTTCTTCGCTCTGCCACTTAACAGCAGTATGACTTTAGTCAAGTTACTTAAGTTCTCTGTGACTCAATTTCCTTACCAGTAAAATGGAAATTGTTATGGGATTAAACAAATTAATACATGTAAAGCATTTAAATAGTGTCTGGCTTATAGAGAGCACTCAATAAATTGCTATTTATAACAGTTTAAGAACATAGTTTTCTTTGACTTTATGCAGAAATTAAAATGTTAAGATAGATTTATTCCTAATAGTCTTAATTCCTAACAGTCCATTTCTGTTATCATTTGTCCTGGAGCCCAAGCTATATTTAACACTAAAGAAAGATTAAGAAGTAATATTGTTATTTAATTACACTTTTACTGTATTTCAGAGAAAAATTTTTGAAAAACGGAAATGAATGAAGAAAAAATTATTGCTCTTAGTTTTACCATCCAAGGACAATTAGTTAATATTATAGATTATTTCCTTCTACTTCATCAAGAATGCTTTTTTAATACCACCACCTCCAAAGAAATATTTCTCCTCATTCCAAATTCCGTAATTCTGTGTGTCTCTCCAGTCTAGGTGTTGGTAAACTTTTTCTGTGAAGGGCCAAATAGTAAATATTTTAGGGTTTGCGGGCCTGGAGGAAAAATCAAGACTATGATGTAGATAGGTACCTCTATAACAAGAGAGAAAACAAATTTCTCCAAAATCTTTATTGCTAAAATTCAAAATATATTAATAATGATAATTAAATATAATTTTTTTGTAATACAGGTCTACTAACGAGAGGAATGGAATTATTTTTGGGTTAATAACATTTCTCTTAATTGGAGTTCAAAGTTAGTATTCCCTATTACCAAAATCCGTTACAAATGTGAGCCTATTAATGCTCATCTGCAGTGAGATTTTACATATTTTATCTTTGAAAATGACTTTCACACAGATAGGTACTGTCAAATACTGATATAAGTCAATACACATGATTTTGATTAAGCATATTTATTGCTTAGAAGGCATTTATGGAATTGTATAAGATTCTTCTCAGAAACTGTATTCACTGTAAATCTGTGTAAGAATGGAAATCTCTCTTCTTGTTTTAGTTTTTGGTAGTATGGGAAGTATATAGAGCAGCTGGGCATTTCTTGTGATTCAGATGTTAGTTGTTTTTGAAATACATTTTATTCATAGAAGTGCTGTTATGCCTTGTAATTTTAGCTTGAATTCATTAGGAAATGTCAAGTCTGCAATAAAAGCCAGTTTGTGAAGTCATACAGTGTTGGATAATAGTGGTTGAGGGCAGTTATTCCTGATCAGAAAATTTTCAGTCTTGGTCCTGAGCTCAAAAAATCACAATAAAAATTTACCACTGGGAAGTCATTGACCTGCTGTGTGGTAGGGCACGGCAGGATATTCAGCTTCAATTTCTGACAAAAATTCACAGAACTGACTGGTTTAGTTCATGAGAATGAATGAAGTTCACCACTAACATTATTGCTTCAATAACACATTTGAAAAATTCAGATTGTAGAGTTGAGGACATTGGAAGCAACATCAATAGTTAATTAAAAAACAAATGGAGTGATTTTGTGGTCCTTGATGAGTTGACATATGTTACCAGTATGGCTCAGTTGTTGTGTATTCACAATCCTTTAGGAAAAAAAAAATTTATAGATTGGATTTCACCAAAATGTAAAACTGCTCTTTTAAAGACACTTGTAGGAGACTAAAAAGACAAGTCACAGACTGTGAGGAAATATTTACAAAGCATACATCTGATAAAGAACTTCTACCCAGAGTTATATAAAGAACTTTTCAAAACTAAGTAATATAATAATAACAGAAATAATCCAGTAAAAAAATGGGCAAAAGATTTTAATATACATATCTCTAAAGAAGAATATATGGGTGGAAAGTAAGCACATGAAAAATACTCTCAGTACCATTAGTCATTAGTGAGATGCAGATTAAAGTCACAATGGGATACCATTACATACCTGTTAGAATGATTAAAGTTAAAAAGACTGTCCATACCAAGTGATGGTGAAGATGTAGAACAACTGGAATTTTCATACACTGCTGGTAGGATTGTAAAATGGTATAACTACTTTGGAGAATAGTTTGGCAGTTTCATAAAATGTTAAATACAGTCAATTCTCATTATTCAAATATAAAGTCACCTTGAACACTGAATTAGCAAATACCAAACTGGTCTTGTTCAACCTCAGGTGTACTGAGTGACTCAACCTTTTTGCTGCTCTTCACATGCACAGTGTCTGCAAATGATCACGAAAGCACTGCGAGTATTGACTTTGGGGTTACATGTAAATTTTAGTAGGAGAATTCACAAATACGGAATCCATAAATAATGAAGATCAACTGTATATATCTACCATATCATCTAGCCATTCTACCAATAGGTGTTTACCAAAGAGAAATGGAAGCATATATCCATGGAAAGACTTGTTCATAACAGCTTTATTGGTAAAAGCCAAAAATGGAAACCCAACTGTCCACTAGTAGGTGCATGGATGAACAAATGTGGCATACTATACAAGGGAATACTACTGAGCAGAAAAATAGTAATCTACTGATACAACATGGATGAATCTGCCACATGGTCAGATTTTCATGGCATAATAAATAATTTTAAGTCTAATACTTTGCTTGTTGAAAAGAAGTTTGGTGTTTGAAACTTTTTTTTTTTTTTTTAAATCCTATTTCAATACCCAGGTGACTTGGCATGAAATTGCAAGGCCTCAGATACATGGATATGACCTGAAATGTTTAGCCATGATTCACCGGTTCCAGTTTGTATCTGGAGCAGATGAAAAAGTTCTTCGGGTTTTTTCTGCACCTCAGAACTTTGTGGAAAATTTTTGTACTATTACAGGCCAATCACTGAATCACATACTTTGTAATGTGAGTATTTTTCTGTTTTAATTAAATTTAGTCTCTTTGTTTAAAATTTTAAAAATTTTGACTTTGGGCTTTAAATGGAGTACACGAGTAGAAAGAAAGTCGAATAGTTAATTATTGACTTGACAAACTTGTGTATGTACGGTAGTGATTTAAATTTTAAAACCAGAAATTTTATGTAACAGATTAGACCAGGATACTGTAAAGCATCGTTAAAATTTAAGACACAAGTGTATCTGTTGATACGTGACATGAATCGTTGTAGGTACCTAGGATAAAACAAAATATGAAAGATGGGTCTATTTTTAAGGAGATTATGATCTAGCTGTAGAGTGGGGGTAGAGGGTAACTTACCTGCAATTATTAGATAAGTCCAGTTAATTGCTAAATTTTATAGTGCTAAAGTAAATTTCATGGAAGGAAGAAGTCACTGTACTAGAGTAATGAGAAAATGTTTAAGGGGGCTGCTGCTGAATTTTGTAAGGATAATCTTTTATTTATGTTTATGTTTATACCCACTACTATTAAAGAATTGAACTGCTAATAGAAATACGTTGTTGTTGTTGTTATGTACCATCGAGTTGGTTCTGACTCATAATGACCCTATAGGACAGGGTAGGACTGCCCCATAGGATTTCCAAGGAGCAGCTGGTAGATTCAAACTGTTGACCTTTTAGTTAGCAGCTGTAGCTCCTAACCACTGTGCCACCAGGGCTCTGTATAAAAATACATAGAATATAAAAATTATAAAGTAACTAGATTTGAAGGAAGAGAAAATAATTAGGAAAGTGATTATGTTACATAGAAGTGAACATCATGTGGTCCTATTCTGTACTTAGTGTTGGGCCACAGATTTGGCTCTGAGCTTGAAATGACTGAAGATGCTTTTAATAGGCAGAGAGAAAGAGAACAGTGGGGTGTAAAGAGCTGTTGGGGTGCTTGTTGGAATGAAGACTGTGTAGAGGCAGATGGAGAGTATGGAGGAAGGTCAAATGGTAGAAGACCTTGGGAGGCAGGCACAGTTCAGACTGTGGGGTGCTGGTGGAGGCCCTAAACAAAGAAATTGATCAATGAAAAACAGTTTTGAATGACAAGACTTAGCTGACGGCAGGATGTATTTGAGCCAAGAGACTCTGAAGGCAGGGAAACCAGCAGCAGTCTGGGTTAAGACTGGAGAAGAAGTGAAGATTTGAGAGTTGTTTGAAATGAAATAAACTTAATTTCCTGGAGTATATACCGAGCACCTCACACACAGGCTTTCTTGATTATGTGAAGAGGACCTAAGACCCTGTTCTGCTTGTGTCTTCTAATAACGGACACTGAGAATGAGATCATCGGGGAGGTCTGGATTATGCTTATTATATGTTGTTGTTGGTAGGTGCTGTCAAGTCAATTTTTGACTCATAGGGACCCCATGTGACAGAGTAGAGCTGCCCTGTAGGATTTTCTAGACTGTAGATCGCCAGGTCTTTCTTCCAAAGAGCGGCTGGGTGCGTTCAAGCTGCCAACCTTTCGGTTAGCAGCCACAAGTTTCACCATTGCCCCACTGGGGTTCCTTGTTTATCATATAGAGCTAAGCATGTGGGGGTGAAGAAGCAGTTTCAGGATCTCTCAGTTCTAGGGATTGAAATACGGTTTTAGTATCACATGGGAGGCTTAATCCCAGGTATACACTCAATTCTGTGTCCTAAAATACAGGAATCCGGTAGACTGGAAAGCCTCTAGCTGTATTTTAGGTTTTGCTGCCATACTAAATATAGGAGTAGGTATGTGGGAATGTTGCTCATTACTCTTTTTCATGCTGTTACATTTTTCTTGATTCTGAGATAAAGCAAGCATCCTGGGTAGCTGTTCTTGATGGTGGTTTACATACGCATTGCTCATGTTTGTGTCTAGTACCAGTCCATATATTACAGTTAAATTGTAAGAAACACTCTTAGTATTTGGACATATGCCAGTTTTGATGGTTAGCATATAGTTTCACATGTAGTAGTTTGATTGCTATAAGTTACAGAGTATATAAACAAATTATCAGTATTGCCACTTCAAATTAAAGTTGTGTTAGAAGTTATTTAAATACACTTAATGAAAGTACTATTCTGGTGCCTTTCTGGAAAGCACTTGTGTTTGCATGAGCATCGTCAGGGACGTGCCTAGGAGACCCTTTTGGAAGTGGAACTCTGAGCCTTCCATTTTCAGCCCACTCTTTGCCCAAAGCGAGCCCAATGCAGTCCTTGTCAGACACTGGAACTCATTCAGGTGTTAGGGTTCGTAGAGCTCGTGCATGAGAGGATGCCGAACTTCATGGACTGGTGGGGTTTGGGGGTTAGGTGAGCCCTGTGTATTGGAGAATGATTGCTTAGCATTGTCTGTGTTGGTTTAGGAAGTGAAAGTGTGGCCAGACATCAGCACAAGGTGGTCTTTCAACTTTCTTATTTATGAACACAGATTTTGTAGTGCCTGAGGCAGTAGTAACTTTGAGGTTTTAAACTTGTATAAAACATATATATCATACTTTTTATTTCAGCAAGAGAGCGATCTTCCAGAAGGAGCTACTGTCCCTGCTTTGGGATTATCAAATAAAGCTGTCTTTCAGGGTAAGGCTTTAATCTTCAGAATTATTGAAATTATCCAAAACCAAACCCATGGCAGTCGGATCGATTCCAGCTCATAGTGACCCTATAGGACAGAGTAGAACTGCCCTCGTAGGGTTTCCAAGGCTGTAAATCTTGACAGAAGCAGACTGCCACATTTTTCTTCTGCAGAGCGCCTTGTGGGTTTTAACTGCCAACCTTTTGGTTAGCAGCCAAGTGCTTAACCATGACACCACCAGGGTTCCTTGTTGAAACCGTAAAAACCAAAGACCAAACCCATTGCCGTCGAGTCGTTTCTGACTCATAGTGACCCTGTAGGACAAAGTAGAGCTGCCACATAGTGTTTCCAGGGAGCAGCTGGTGGATTTAAACTGCTGACCTCTTGGTTAGCAGCCTGAGCTCTTAACCACTGTGCCACCAGGGCACTTAAAACCTAGCTACTTATAAAATAAACCGTACTACCCGTGAGTGCTGTGCTCCCTTAAGTAATCAACTATATGAGACCAAATGATCAACATTTACCCTAAAACAAAGATGAGAAGCTAAAGAGGGCCAGGGAAGCTAGATTAATGGCAACAGAACCAACAGAAGGGAAATAATGAGAACGTTGACACATTGTGAAAAATGTAACCAAAGTCATGGAACAATTTGTATAAAAATTGTTAAATGAGAACCTAATTTGCTGTGTGTAAACTTCCACCTAAAACATAGTAAAATATTTTAAAAACTCAGTTACATACTTGTGAAACTTGTACTTAATGTGTATTACAGCTGATTTTTTAAAAGATCACCATATGTGCGTCTGTCTTCTCCATCAGATGTGTTTCATGATACGTACTCTGTACACATGCAGTTCACTAAAATAGGTGAGCTTTCACAAAGTGTGTTTCATGGAGCACTACAACCATGGGAATAGGGGTAACCTGAAAAATACGTTTCATAGTTTAAAAGATTTGGGAAATGTTAGGTCAAAGAAAAAGGAAAGAAAATTTTATGGAATTGCTTAATGCTCCAAGGAACATATTTGGAATATACTAAAAAAAAAAAAAACAAAAAACCGTTGCTGTTGAGTCAATTCCAACTCATAGTGACCCAATAGGACAGAGTAGAACTGCCCCATAGCGTTTCCAAGGAGCAGTTGGTGGATTTGAACTGCCAACTTTTTGGTTAGTAACCAAGCTCATAATCAGTACTCCACCAGGGCTCCTACTAGAGTGGCGGGAGTATTCTTGGCTTTGGAATCATGTGGATGTGACTCTGGATACCAGACCCACTACTTTCCATTTGGTGAACTTTTTTTTGGGCCAAGTATAGAGGAAATAAGGATAGTGATTACATTTATGATGTTCATGTATTTCTTTAAACTAGGAGATATAACTCCTCAGCCTTCTGATGAAGAGGAACTGTTAACTAGTACTGGTTTTGAGTATCACCAGATGGCCTTTCAACCCTCTGTACTTACTGGTAAGATATGGCAAAACGATGTTTTAATAAAATCATTTGTAGACATAGTATGGTATCTGTCACTGCTGACCTAAATACCTGCTTTGTAATTCACTTTTATTTGCATGTAAATAGAAATAATAATTGCAATGCTATAAATTTATTATAGAACCTCCCACTGAGGATCATCTTTTGCAGAATACATTGTGGCCTGAAGTTCAGAAACTGTAAGTTAAACTGTACTTAGCTCTTTGATCTGACTCTGTTATAACTTATGATTTTTTCCCCCACAACTTGATTTTCTCCTTTACGTTTTTCCTACCTACATATTCCCCAGTTTTTGGTCTGCTAGTGTCTCTGCATAAGTGACAATAATCATATCTCACATTGAAATTTTTATGTTACTATGTATTTTATTTAAGTTTGCTTATTGTCCTTAATTTTTAACATAGAGAGGCATAGTATTATATATATTTTTTCCTTTTTAAAAGGTTTTTTGTCTTTGCTGGCACTCCGTCAGAACCTTTCTGTGGTGTATTGTTTATTTTACTGTTTGGGAGTGGGAGGTGAAGCTTGTATGTTAATCTAATTGTTTGAACAAGTTGTACACCTACTCCTCCCTTATCAACTGTCTCATCCTACATTTCACATTTACAACAATAGTAAAAAATCTACTATCAGAACTGTTTTGTGCAGTAGTGACACATGTCTGGCAGTAATGAACACTGAGGTGTGAAGCGAAAGTACGGCTGGCTGTGATGGTTAAGGTTATTTGTCAACTTGGCTGGGCCATGATTCTCAGAGGTTTGGCACTTATGGAATGATGTAAGTTGGCGGTTATGTAATGATATAATTTGGCAGTTATGTAGTCATCCTCCATTTTGTGATCTGATGTGGTCATCCTTCATTTTTGCATAACGCCAATTTTCCCGTAATGACCTGGTATTTGAAACCTAACCGTGTCGATAAGTGAGGAGTGGGTGTATTGCTTTTAGGAAGCTAGCATTTTTCTCCGAATCCTTTTTTTTCTCCTAATATTTGCCCAGATGAAAATGTGATGTTCTTTAAAAGAACTTTGTGTTAGCTAGAGGGATTGATGTTACCTTTTCACTTTTTTAAATTTTGCACCATGAGAATAGGTACATTTAACAATACAGGGGTCATGTATTTTCTCTTTTTTAATTGTAGATATGGACATGGCTATGAAATATTTTGTGTTGCTTGTAACAATTCAAAGACTCTGCTTGCCTCAGCATGTAAGGTAGGGAATTTTGCTATTTATTCTATTGGGCACAGTTTATTTGGATCATCAGGCTCTGGAAAGTTTGGTAGTGATTTAGGCAGGATACTACCTGAAACGCCACCGCTGCCTGCTTTTTCTGCATTTTGCTTTTTCATTCTGTCTTTCCCCTTCTCTCCCTCAAAAAGCTTGCAGTTGCATTTTAAATCTTTTTCAGCTACACTTTTTTTTCCCGCTTAAATGCTTAGCTTGAGCTTGTTTATGCCTCCTACTCAAAATGATTGAATCAGGTATCTTAGAATGATACATGAAAATGTGATAAGTAAATTTTAAGATAATTGGAGTCCTGGAGACCCAGGGAAATGAGAAAGTGAAATTCAAAGTGCAGTTCATCTGACTTTCTCAAGAGTACTCTAGACAGTGACCTAAGTGAGTGTAGTCTCTTGGCCCGTGCAGGGTGGTGGCCGGCTCTGCTGGCTGTCACAGCATATGGACTGCAGAATAGTACACTTCAGACTTTTACCTAGGAGAATGTACTTGATCACTATTGAGTATTTATCCACATTTTATGAAGGGAGATAACAGTTATGGAGGGTTATCTGAAGGGTCTGATAACCTCACACTGCTCTGCATTCCTCTGAATTTTCTAAAACTTACTTAAGCATTAACTTGAGAGCTGCCTGCCTAGATGAGCCCCGTGTCCTTGCTTTTGCTGTGACTTCTTGCCACTAGCCTGCATTAAGGGGCATCATAAGAAATATTCTATATTGTTGTGCCACCTCGCCCAACTAGTCCAGTCTGAGGATGGTACTGAGAGTTCCTTCTGTTACAGGGTCTTGTGGGAAGAGTGGGTCTCAGTACCAAGAATAGTTGTGCTTTCACTGAGCAACTAATTTATGTTTATTGTAGGACACTACCAGTCATATAACTGATTATTTTTCCCTTTCAAACTGGTCCGCTTCTAGCACGTATTGCATCTTTCTTTTAAACTAACATTTTTTAACAGCTTTATTGAGGTATCATTGGCATACCATAAACTGCATGTTTAAAGTGAATAATTTGATAAGTTTTGCCGTGTTTATACCTGTGAAATCATCACCACAATCAAGATAGTGAACATATCCATCAACTCTCCAAATTCCCTTGTGCACCTTGGTAGTGTCTCTTGCCTGCCCCTCCTTATCCCCTCCTGCCCCTGTCACTAGGAAACCACTGATTCGCAGTTTCTAAAATTTTATATAATTAGTAAAGAATGTCTGTCTTGAGCATTGTGCTCTTTTAAATAACTATTTCTATGGGACAAGGAACCCTGGTGGCACAGTGGTTAAGTGCTCAACTGCTAACCAAAAGGTTGATGGTTTGAACCCATCAGCTGCTTCATGGGAGTAAGATGTGGCAGTCTCCTCCCATAAAGATTACAGCCCTGGAAACCCTATAGGGCAGTTCTCTGTCCTATAGGGTGGCTTGGGACAGAATTGACTTAATGGCAATGAGTTTATCTATGGGATCAAGTTGATAACAGCAACTTGAAAGGTAGATAAGAAGCTTAGGGGGCATTGAGTTTATTTTAATGCTGAAGGAATAATTTGGAAAAGGAAAGTGAGAATGGATGCACTACTTGAACAATGTAATCGGTGTCACTGAGTTGTAAGTGTAGAAATGATTGAATTGGTATATTTAATTTTTTTTTAATTGTACGTCAGGTGAAGGCTTACAGAACAAATAGTTTCTCATGAAACAGTAGTACACGTATTGTTTTATGACATTGGTTAACAACCCCACAACATGTCAACCCTCTCCCTTCTCGACCTTTTGAATGGGTATATGTTTTGTTGTGTATGTTTTCACCAAAAAATAAAATAAAATTTTATATAAATGGAATCATATAGTATGTATTCTTTTTTTGTCTTCCTTCTTTCACTCAGCATACTTATTCTGAGATTCATCTGTGTTGTAGCATTTCTCAAGACCTCATTTCTCTTTATGGCTGAGTAATATTCCATTGTATGGATATACTGTATTTTTTTATCTGTTCGTCTGTTGATGGACATTTGTTTCCACCTTTTGCCTGTTGTGAATTGTGCTGCAATGAACATTGGTATACAGGTCTCTGTTTGTGTTCCTGCTTTCATTTGTTAAGGGTATATATCTAGGATTGGGATTGCTGGGTCATATGGTAGTTCTGTTTAACTTTTTGAGGAACCGCCAAACTGTTTTCCAGGGCAGCTAGACCATTTTGCATTCCCAGCAATGGATGAAGTTTCCAGTTTCTCCACATCCTTGACTATACCTGTTATTTTTCCATGTTTTTGTTGTTGTTGTATCATAGCAATTCAAATGAGGATAAAGTGGTATCTCATTGTAGTCTTGATTTGCATCTGCCTAATGACTAATGAAAGAGCCCTGGTTAACAGCTTGGTGCAGCGGTTAAGCGCTTGGCTGTTAACTGAAAGGGTGGCAGTTCGAACCCGTCAGCCACTCTGCCGGAGAAAGATACACCAGTCTGCTTCTGTAAAGATTATGCAGCCTTGGAAACCCTATGGGGCAGTTCTACTCTGTCCTGTAGGGTCACTATGAGTCGGTATCAACTCTATGGCAACGGGTTTGGTTGCTTTTTGGAATGACTAATGATGTTGAGTATTTTTTTATGTGCTTGTTGGCCATTTGTATATCCTCTTTGGTGAACTAACTGTCCAAGTCCTTTGCCAATTTTTTGATTGGGTTGTTTGTCTTTTTGCTGTTAAGTTATAGGAGTTCCTTATATATTCTGGATATTAAACCCTCATCAGGTATATGATTCCCAAAAATTTTCTCCTAATCTGTAGCCTGTCTCTTCACTTTATTGATAAAGTCATTTGATGAATGTGGTTCCATTTATCTATTTTGTCTTTCACTGCTTGTGCTTTTCGTGTCATAAACTAACTTTTAATTACACAATTAATATACAGATGTTTCTTCTTATTAAAAAAAAAATCAGACCATGACTGCAATGTAAGTCCATGATGGTTCATGTTTTCTAATCCCAGTCTTCTGTACCTCTTCCCAGAGATTGTGTCTTGTAGTATTCTGTGTCTCCTCAGACCTTTTTCTTTATACTTACACAGATACATACAAATGTACTCATAGAAACAATATATATATAGTTAATGTTTTCTTTTCACTTGATTTTTACTTAAATTGCCTGATGGTTTCATCTCTCTTTTATAGGCAGCTAAGAAAGAGCATGCAGCTATCATTCTTTGGAATACTACATCTTGGAAACAAGTGCAGAATTTAGTTTTCCACAGTTTGACTGTCACACAGATGGCCTTCTCACCTAATGACAAGTTCTTACTAGCTGTTTCCAGAGATCGGACCTGGTCATTGTGGAAAAGGCAGGACACAGTCTCACCTGAGCTAGGTAAAATAGCTTCTCTTTGGGCCAAAAGTTTATTAGTGGGACAAATGTGCCCGTTTTATCCACCCTGAGCAGCTATTAGATAAGACAAATGGAAATGATAATAGGATGAAAGGCAGAGCTTCACAGTCATGAAGGCTTTGAAGGCTCTGTGATAACTGACAAAGGATAACCTCCCTTGTGAGACTTTAGTGTAGGTGGTCTCGGGCTTGACTTTCTTGTGATCATGTGGTTAGAATGCCATGTGTTCAGACATCTTAGTTTATAAAAACAATCTATTTGTAGAAAATGTTTATTTTGCAAATGTTTACCACAAAAACCAAATGCTACCATGAAACCAAATGGATGACATAGTCTGAGAAATTTATGGGACATGAATAATGAAGGCACAACTAAAAAAATTTGAGGTTGAGAGATTTCTTCTACTTTCTAAACTATTTTACAAATATAGTAATATTTTAAATTATGAAACTTAAAGAACAGTATCCTTAGTCTTTTCCCATCCAGTCCTGTCAGTTTGATAAATCGGGAAAGGCGTTTTAGGCGTCTGCCTGTGGATAACATGAACCATGGGCAAAGTGTTAACCTACTTATACCTATATTCTAAGCCTCACATAGTTAAAAAAAGAAAAAGAAAAAGGCTTTGTGTTGCTTATTCCCACAGTTTCTTTTGATAGGCAAATTCTAGAGAGTATTTAAAATATATTTGTATTGTTTAATTTTGCTTTTTATTTTTCTATTGATGACTTGAATGCATTTGATCTTGTGATATTTCTAGTTTCTAAGTTTCTTATATTTTAAAGAGTAACAAAGGACTGTAACACATAAAACCAAACCTGTTGCCATGGAGTCAGTTACAACTCATAGCGACCCTATAGGACAGAGTAGAACTGCCCCATAGGGTTTCCCAGGAGCAGCTGGTGGATTTGAACTGCCGACCATTTGGTTAGCAGCACAGCTCTTAACCACTGTGCCATCAGGGCTCTGTTACACATACTTAGCAGATAAAATAGACTATTTTATTTTGCTTCAGTAATGATTTCCTAACATGTAACATTTACTTTAAAAAAAAGTTAAAGTAATGCTGATGACATATCTGTTAGTTTGTTATATCTTTATGGATTGTAGATTAATAGATCTGTTCTGCTTTCCTCCTTGAAAGAAGTGATAGGTTTTAAGTTTAGTCCATGTAAGGGCTTAGAAGTTATCTTACATTTAAATCATACAAGGAAAATATTTTTGTTTTGTTTTGTTTTCCATTATTTAAGTCGTGCATTAACCTTTTTTATAGCTCAGTTTGTGAATGTGGCTGATTCCAATGTAAGGCTAAATTGCTTCAGGCTTCTTCCATACGCATAAACTGAATCTTTAGTTGAGTGTCTGGATGTTTGTCATCAGTCACTAGAGAGTGACCGGTCACTATAAAAGTATCCTTTACTAGGAAAATACTGCTCGCCATCTCCTGGTGAGGGATCAGTCACCTGGACTTGTTCTGTTGCTAAAGTCAGCATTTCTAAATTGATGACTAAATCACACAATGAACATGGCATTTAAACATAATCTTTCTAAAAGGTATAAAAGGTTATCAAAAAAAAAAAAAACCTGCTTTCTCTGCTTTGTGAATAGCGAGTACATGTTTCTTTCAGAGCCAGTTTTCAGTCTCTTTGCCTTCACCAACAAAGTCACTGCTGTGCACAGTAGAATTATTTGGTCTTGTGATTGGAGTCCTGATGGCAAATATTTCTTCACAGGGAGTCGGGACAGAAAGGTAATTAAAAAGTATATATGTATATATTTTTTTTTTCTCAAATGTGAAAAATAATATCATTACTGGAAAGTTTAAGTAAAGAATATAATCCTGCCTCTCTGTCACAAAGTTTTTTATCAATTTATATGTTCCCTTCTGTTACTCATATGCATTCAAAAAAAAAAAAAGAAAAGCATTTCTTTTTAAATTCTACAAGTCCATTTCTCTGAAATACCAAAATGTGAAGAGAAGGCCTTTCAGACACATGACCTTCATCAGATGGCTCCAGTGGAAGGAAATTAAACTTTTCTATAATGACTGATGACTACCTTTCAATTCAGTGGGTGACAGGTGGGGCACTCAAGCTTTTCAAAAATCAAAACAGGTTAGCTAGTGGTGTGTACTTAAACACGACTCTAGTCCTTGTCCTCTGGGAAAATGTCTGCCCTCCTCTCCCTTCATGCTCTTCACAGTGTGTTCCTTTCTTTTTTCTGCATCTGCTCTAGACCAGAGGTGGTGAGCCAGTTGGGCATTTCCTTTTCTCTCCCTGCCCTCTCCAGTCATAGACATGGTACATATTACAGAAGTGGAGGGTTAGCACGGGCATGGGATCACTCAGGGTACACACTTACTTAAGCCTCCTAAGCATCTTTGTGCCACACTGTCACTTTTGTGCATTTGCCTGTTCATTTCTTCCTCCAGCGTTTATTTGCCTTCAGTGTGGTAGGTGCTGAGGAAGTAGCACTGCTGCCCTCCAGAGTCACCCCCCGGAGAAGATGGGCCAGCTGTAGCCCCCAGGGATGTGTTGGGTTTGAAATGGATGAAGTATCACTCTCTGCACAGTCTTGGAAAACCCACTGTTCAGGATCTTGCTTTGGCCTACATTTTCTAACTATTGTCTGTTTTACTTCCTTCTCCATTTCTTTGTGACCAGTCATATACCCTTGAGACATGAGCTTCCAGGGAAGGCTCATTTTCAATGAGGGTATCATCAAAGTTAACTACTCCTGACAGCTGAGTTGGTTTCCTGAGCTGTGGGTGGTGTAGGGGGAGAGCTAGGGACTTGATTAGTGCCTATAAATTCTGTGGCAACTTCTTGGGTCGGTGTATGGGTTCTCAGTGAGGACATGACCAATGGACTCGCTCTGGGTCAGAATGGGTTTCATGAGTATAAGAGCATTCTAGACACCCCTCTGGTCTCTACACAGGAACAGCCCATCTTTGGACAGCACACTTAGGTAGGTAGTTGAGGTCTCATAGACTTGCATCTTCTACACTGTGGCCTCTGTCTAATGCTTGAAATATTCTGAAGTGCTGGAACATCATCCACAAATTTAAATGCTATTTTTTAAAAAAATACTTGAGTACATATTTTCCATTGTCTAAGCCATTGAAACCCTCCCTAATGCATTGCTAGAAATCCTTCAGAAAGAGGGCTTTACAAACTTTGGTCTGCCTGTTTAGGTGGTTGTCTGGGGTGAGTGCGATTCCAGTGATGATTCCATGGAGCACAGCATTGGCCCCTGCTCCTCAGTCCTGGACGTGGGTGGGGCTGTGACAGCCGTCAGCGTCTGCCCAGTACTTAACCTTTCCCAGCGGTGAGTCTCTGTGTGGGGCTTAGTTTTATGTTTTCTTTAAGAGGACCACTTGGTTTCTCATTATTTAGCCCTCTTATAATTTTATTTGTGGGTTCTCTTAGCTTCTGAGTTGCTCATTTTTTCATAATGCTTATAGGAGTTTTAAATCGATAGAACTCTGTGATTCAGAGTGGTGAAATAGGAGGAGTGTGACTCAAGCTTCTTATATTAGCCAAGTACAGGATTATAGTGTTCTCTCCGTCCTAAGTGTCTTTAGTAGAACTAGGGTCCCTTTAGCCAGCTGCAGAAACTCTGGCTTGAGGACTTCACTGTCAGAAGTCAGAGGAGAATGCCTGTGCAGGCCTCAGGGAGGAGGCTCCTTGAGAGCACAGTAGAGGAAGACACCGTAGCCTGGACTGGAGCTTTCAGAGTTCTTTGTAAGGCACGACAGCTGGGAATGCCATGAAGAACTACTTAGTGATGATGGAGATAACAGAAATTCATGCTAAATTAATTGCTCTCTCCTCGCTCCCTGCCTGAAAAACAGATATGTTGTTGCAGTAGGATTAGAATGTGGAAGGATTTGTTTGTATAGCTGGAAAAAGACTGATCAAATTCCAGAAATAAATGACTGGACCCGCTGCGTAGAAACAAGTCAAAGGTATTTTCTTCCTATTTTTATTTCTATCAGATTAAATAGAAACTATGGAGTGTTTAGCAGTGAATTTCATGCCACATCTGTGTAGAGGGGGACATAGATCTCTACTGTGTGCTCACCACTAAGTCCAGTCTCTGTTCTGTGGTAGTCTCTTTTGAAATTGATGTCTAACTATATTACACTTCGTTTTTTAAGTTTGCTTATCCAAATTGTATGTGTGCAGAACACGCCTTTGCAAACAATAACCATTTGAAACAAAATTAATTTTCATAAAGACATGGTTTTGTGTTTTTTTTTAATTGTGGTAAAAATACAAACCCTATACCAATTCTATAATTTCCACATGTACAGTTCAGTGATGTTGATTACAGTCTTTTGTGCAACCTTTATCACTATCTTGCAAAGATACGTTTTAACAGTACCCTTTTAGAATTTATCTATGGTAGACTATTAATAAAATTCGATTCGGAATGTTGGTGATTGTTTGAAATGTTACAGATTGTGTTTGGTAACCACATCCTTGCATTTAAATACCTCGATTCATATTCCCTAATGAAGCAAACTGTTGGGTACCCCTGAAAACCCCATGACTGACTTTCAAGTGCTCTCTAAGCCTCTCTTATAAGGGCCCTTGTCACCTGAGCTGGCTTAGAATATCTGTCATTTATAATCTCTACCGCCCCCCACCACAAATGTATAGACACTAGAGATAATTTTTTAATCTACCTTTTTACTCATTTTATTCTCAAAAATGTCTAAACTTTCAAAAAGTCATTAACATCATTCTATGTCGTACTTTCTTAGGATTCTTTAGCCTTCATAATATCATTACTGTTCAAAATAGAATTTCAAATACAATTCCAAATGACAGTGTCATGATGATGATTGGCTTAATGGGAAGACTTGTGAACACATGTCTTTTACAAAGTATTTTATCTAGTGGAGCTTATCTCCATATCAGCAAAGATGTTAGCACTCATTATAATTTATTAAAATGAGATCCGGTCTTTATTACTGCTGTCCTCATGGCTTCCCTCCCACCTCTATGATCTCAGATTTAGCCGCAGAAGTAGTTTTTGCTGCTGGTTAGCTGAAGAGGGAAGAAATCCAATAAAATTCCATATTCCAGGCATTTTAAATTTTTTCTCTTCCTGGACTCCCATCCCTTCTCTTTTCCTGCCTTTCTCCTTCACCTGCCCACAGTGAGAGTATTCAACATCATACTTTGCCTCTACCTGGTACTCAAGACTACTTCCATGGCTTGAGTGTGGGACACTGGCAGGAGGCCCTTTAGAAAGCAGAGGAAGAGGACATGCACAGAATGTGAGGTTTTAATTTTGAGGGTTTTTTTTAAGTCACTTACGATGACTTGGGATTTGCACGATGGAACCAATTCTTGGCTTACCATATTATGTTATTTGGATTGCTAATATTCCACTCAGAAAACTTCTAGTATCTTTCAAATTAAAGGTTTTTTTTTTTTTTTTGCTAGTAATGAGATATAAAAGTAATATAAGCAAACACTACCTTTTAGATTGGGTCCCCAGACTCCACGTGTTCTAAATGTGATGTCTTAACATGCTGGGTTTAAAGGACATTACAGGAAAAAAATCCCACCATCTTAAAGCTTAAATAGCCAAATAAAAACTGTCCCTCAAAGTAACTCCCCTGGGAAGCAATATATTATTTATACTGTTCCAGTGATATCGCTACTTCAAATCATTCTTTTTATGAAATAAGGGAACTTTTAATACTGATCAATAAAATATTTTGGGAACTTCTTTTTAGGAACTATACTCAAAACTAACTTATTAGTGACAGAAGAAAATCAATCTTGTAATACCTTTCACAGTTTTACCCGTTTTGATCATTCACTTTATTTTTTAAGCTAGGCATTATTTTATTTATAAAGCTTAGCTCCAAATGACTTTTGGCTACTTTCAATAATCAAATTCATCCTCAAAGGAAGACACACTACCATTAAGAGTATTCATCATAGTCTGCATAATCTGGAAGTGTTTCCTTTATAAGAATGACAGAAAACATTGTGGCATGGCACTCTTGTTGAAGTCCATGTTACCTTCCAGAGTGACCACTTGCAAGGGCTCAGTCATTTGGTGTGATGGTTTTAAAATGTGTTTCATTAGTTCAAGGTCATCCTTCATTCATACCTTTATATCCTGAGAGTGCATCTGGTGAGAGGGATTCTCAACACCTGAAGATATAATTTGTGTGCTCTGGTGTTGTTTTCAGTGTTTACTGCCTGACTTAAGTTTTTCACTTCATTCCTTTTTGATTTGGATGTCTGCTAGCTTGCAGGTTAAATTTATAGAGGATGTTGTATTTTCCTAAGAGTTTATTAATAATCTATGTTTGGTAGCATTCTAGATCTGCCGTTTGTGTGTGTCGGGGTGGTGGATTAATGTAAGTGTCTTGCTCAAGGTCATGCAATTCAAGGTCACATTGGAGAGACCAAGATTCTTTCGCTGTGTGACTTTGGGCAGTTCATTGAATTTTTCGTTGTCTTTCTTTACCCAGCAGTAAAAATGTGAGTTCCAGCCATCTCACAGAGATGTCAAAAGAATAGAACGATAAGGAATATATTGTAAAGTTGGAATTCTTAATTTAAAAATACACATTTAACATTTTTTAGTGTTATCTGAAAGACTGTTAATAGCCATTTTATGAATTCCACTGATTATTAAAATAAAATTTGATAGAAGTTCTTTGTTATATTTTGTTCTTTTTGGTAGCATCATTGGCCAGTAAATAAAGTATTTAGTCTGACAGTTTAAAGTAAATAGAATAAGATGTTTTCAAGGTTAAAATTGTTAAAATATTGATGTTATTTAAAACCCGTACATTTTCAGATTTGACTTCCATTTGTATTAACAACATTAACAGGAAGAGCATACTAATTAATATCTAGGTGAGCACTTAGTAAAATTTTTATAGTCACAGTGTACAGTCATTTCATGTTTTATTTACCTTTGTTTTAGCCAGAGTCATACACTTGCTATCAAAAAATTATGCTGGAAGAATTATAATGGAAGAACTGAACAGAATGAAGCAGAAAGCACTGAATGGCTACACTTTGCAAGTTGTGGCGAAGATCATACTGTGAAGATATACAGAGTTAACAGATGTGCACTGTAATGGACTTAATAACCACAAGTATCTTAAGTAACACAATCATTGGTGTCTTAAAATATATATCATGTAAATACATAACCTTTCTTTACCTTTATAATTTCAGTGAGTTTCATTTTTAAGTCACTATAGCAGTAGTCCTTATTTGCGTTATAGATCCTTTGAAAATCTGCTGAAAGCTGTGGACCCTTTTCTCAAAATTGTTATTTATGCACACACACCAGAACTTTACACACACTTTCAGGGAGTCATGGACCTGCATTCATGGGGCCCAGATTAAGAGCCCTGTTCTTTCTTTATTCATTACTGAAGTTTCTTAATTTTTTGTTATTTTGGGTTTCCTCTTTTCATCTCCCCCTTTTGGGGACATTTCATTATTTACTACCCTTTTCAGAGAGAGGGCATAGAAAATAAAGAAGAAATCCAGAGTACTCAATTTTTATGTTAACAGCTTCTGTAAATAAACATACCTCCCAAAGTGTGCTAACTCTTGACTCCTTCTTCCCCCGAACACACCAGTAATTCTAGGAATTTGGCAGGCAGTTGTGAGTTTGAACTTTAGCCAATCCTTTCCTTTATTTATAAGTATATGGATTCTTTTAGGGCTCGATTTAGAGTGCATTTAAATTGATAGGTGTAGGTACTAAACAATAGAGTTCTGAATCATTTGAACTGAGGTGATCGCTGAAGTCATGAGAGTGAAGAGTGTTCCCCAAGAGAATGTGCAGCAGGAGCAGAGAGAAGTGGGTGCTGTAACAGAACGTTGGGGTGTGTCAGCTTAGGGTTAGGAGGGCTAGGAGAGTTGGACAGCTTGAGAGTTGGGTGGAGAACACTTAAGGGAGGATATAAGAGGTGGTTATGAAGACTGATGTGAGAGTGGGGGCTTGCCCCAGACCCTGTTGGAACATGGGGTCATCTGACAAAAATGACACTAAAATGCATACTGTACATAATGAATATGCTGAAAGAAGATGGGGTGAGGATATTCTTGGTGGGAGTTTTTAAGTTTTCCAGTAGCCACATAATAAAAGTAAAAAAAAAGAAAAAAGTGAGATTTCTTTTAATAACACATTTCTTTTAACATAGCATATCCAAAAATACTATTTCAACATATAATCAGTATAAAAAATGTTGGGATATTTTATATTTACAGCCGATTTCAATTGAGACTAGCCATATTTCAAGTGCTCAGTAGTGTTTGAGGCAAGTGGCCATCCATATCTGGACAGTGCAGTTCTGTACTATTGAATCTGTATAATCTTGTCTTATGACCTCAGCCAGGTGTGTGTGTGAGAGTCTGTATGCACCAAGACGGTGAGCATCTGAGCTTCCCAACCTCAGAGATCACAGTTTCCTGAAGTATCATTTCCCTGCTTAGCAGCTGGAGAATGTTGGTCTTAACCCCCATGGGCATACCAGGATTTGTTCTGATCCCAGTACATGAAGACTCAGTGGCCAGGATTTTTGGTGACTTTACTCCAGGATGTTGGCCATCTTCCAGAGGCCAGATTTAGTGGGCTCACTTAGTCCTTCAGATCCTTTTCCAGCACAGAACTCAACCCACTAAGGTTACCTGAAAGCACGTCTAACTTTGGAGACTGAGTTCCTGGTTGGTTATTGTTTTGTCAGTTGAGTTTGCATATAAACAATTTTCCCAAGCTGTCGTGAAGCATCTTCCTTATTAATCACCTATGTAATCAGTTCAGTAAGTGTTCAGAGGATTTGGTGTGTACCTGGGCAGTCTGCATAGCAATCCATATATGTTATCCACTCATGTCTTAAACCTATTAAGGACTACCATTTGAACTATATTTTAGTAATTTGTAACATACACAGCAAAAAGATAGTAACTCCAGAGAAGCTGAGGAGTATTTCAGAATCCCCAACCTGCCCTTTCCATTCCGCCTGGTGGACATCTCATTCTCTATTCAGTTCACTGCATCAAATTTCAGCTTAAGTAATTACTGTCTTCTGACCTTTACAACTTTCCAGACAGAAGAGGTGATCAGGTTGTTCCAAGTGCGTGTTTGCCTTACAGCAAGGAGTGAAATCACCACTGTGTCTCTCCCAGCAACCTGAGGAAAAGCAGAACTGGTCATTGATTCCAAAGTGAAATGGAATTTGAAGGGGACCATGCAAATTCAGTAATAAAGGATAAAAGCACAAAATCACTCTCTTCCTCGCTTAAATTAGGAATCTTACAGGCAAACTTAGCAAATCCTGGGTTGCCCTAAGACTTTCCATTGCTATCTGCTGCACTGTGTATGTGGTGATTTTAAGAGGGGGTGAGACTTCCCTTTCCTGCAATATGGCTACTTAAATTTCAGAATCACCCAGAAGGCTTGTTAAAACAGATTGCTGGGTCCCAAACCCAGAGTTTTTGATTCAGTGTATCTGGTGTGAGGGTCTGAGAATTTGCATTTCTGACAGGTTCCCTGTAATGCTAACCACGGTAGGCAGGAAAGCCACATACTGAGTGGCTTGGGCCTGTCCATCTGCAGTCACAAGAACCATGAGATTACCTATCCTAGAGCTGAAGGCAGGGTTGGTCCCACTGGGACCACATGGCTACTTTATGTGGAGTGGTTTCCCAAAGCAGAACTGGTTAGACAACCAATGAAAGCCCACTCTACAAGCCTACTACAGCCTAAACCCCTTGGCATGAAATTTATTTTTTCATTCTCCACAGTATTGCACATATAACCAAACGCATTGCCATCGAGTCGATTCCGACTTATAGCGACCCTATAGGACAGAGTAGAACTGCCCATATGGTTTTCAAGGAGTGCCTGGTGAATTCGAACTGCCAACTGTTTGGTTAGTAACTGAGCTCTTAACCACTGCGCTACCAGGGCTCACTATTGCACATAGTAGGGAATAAATATTTGCTGAATTCAAGGATGAGTAAATTTGACAATACAGACGGCTGGCAGAGGAAGCATTCTCAGTATAATCCACCAATTCAATAAAATAGAATGCTTGATATCAAGATTTCCCTGTCTAGATGGCATAAAGGGGCAATGAGCAAGAGGACGGGTCCCAGTGGACCTGCCCTTGAATGAACATGGTGAGAAGCTAAGCCTCCAGGAAGACAGCATCAGGAAGAGCCTTGCCCTGAGCCCTCCCACCCTCTCGCTTCCAGGGTTTGACTAGTACTAACGAGTTTTGTTGTTTTGAACGTTATAGATTAGATATAATGGAGCCTTGTTCCCAAATGTATCATGATTTCGAGCTGCCCTTTTAGCTTCTATTCACAGAAAAGGTCTCCTGTCACTAATGGGAGAGCTTCCTGGGGTCTTTGCTCTTCCCATTGCTCTCAAGTTTTTCCTGCCAGACACTGCCAGGCTTTGCAGAGAAATCTCTATTGTTATGTTTGTCTTATTACTTTCTGCTGTGTAGGCCCTCTTCTGACTTCCTAGGTACCAGAATATCTAGGTCAACAGGTTTTCGTTGTTAAGAGGTAAAACTTAAGTAAGAGAGGGCCGTCAGTAGGAGCTGAAAGAGCTGTTTCCCTACAAAGCTGTAAACTTGGAGTGCCTGGGGCCTCAGCATGGACCAACTTTGGTCCTCTGAGGCACCAGGATCAGCCCCTGGACCAGGTGAGAGGAGACGGTAGCAGGCCTGTAGCAAGGACTGAGAGAGAGCTCATTAGATAGCACATACATGTGTTAGACATTCACTGGTGGGGGCTGGAGGTCCTACTTCAGGCAGGAGTGAGACCCGAGCAATCTGGTTTCTGATGGTCTTTCTGGAAGGGAAGGCCCAGGGAATCTTGGCTAAATGCACCTCAGGGTGCCAATTAGAGGCTGAGGCTCCCAGTGTCCCCACACACCCCCTACTCCCTCCTTCCTCACTGATCCATTATTATGGATCAGTTCAAAGGCATCCTCCTTTGGGGTGCCTTCCCTGGGCCCCTTGATTGGAAGTAGCCCCATCCTTTCCTGCAGTTTTACACTTGTATCCTAAAGCAGCCACCAGGCATTCATCCCGTATCTCCTTGTGGCCAGTTGTACAGGGGTTCATTTCCCTCAGCTCTAGGGACAATATCATCACACCCTCCTAAGCATACAGTGCCTGGTGCATAAATATATATATGTGTGTGTGTGTGTGTTTATATATATATTTATATTGTGTTTAAAAGTACTTCTTGACTAAATGATAGCTCAGTGATTTTTAGTGACCTTCAAGAGTCCTGCGCTAACGGCCCATTCACTAGGGCAAGATTGTCCTAAAGTAGTACCCCTGTGGATTTGTGATTTGTTACTTTGCCACTGCACACCTTGAGAAGTATTGCTTACATTCCCAGGAATGGCCTAGGCCCTCTTCAGAGTGCAGTCCATGGACCAGGGCATCAGCAGCACCTGGGCTTTTTATAGAAACAGAATCTCAGCCCCCTCTCTCCGCCCCCCCCCCCATGTAATGAATTAAAATCTGCATTTTACTAGGCTCCCCAGGTGATCCATGAGGTGGTTTAAAGCCTGGCAAGCCAGGCCTAGAAGTGATCTTCACTGGGATCTAGGGAATTAAAAGGAGTGTGGAGTGCCCACACTGGTTTGCTGGGAGGACCAACCTCCACCCCTGAGGCCCTGAGAACCACAGTGGCTTGCACCAGAGAGGTAGCAGAGCACACTTAACTACTGGGCTTCGGAAACTGACTTCCCAGATGCTCGTGTCTTCTCTGGCCTTGTCCCCTTGAGCAAATTACTTCTCTCTGCCTCAGCTTCCCTATCTGATTTTTTAATTATTGTATGATTAGTACAGATAAGACTGCAGTGCCTGGCACATAACAAAGGGTGACACTTGTTATTATTACCCCAAGTCACATTTACAGGAGGGAGTGCAGTGGAGAGGTGCCAAGACGCTTTCCTTGTCCAACGTGACCGCTGACAGTATGGCCAGAGGGTATGCAGATAAGGGAAGGCAGTGATGCCAATAAGCAAATGCCAGAATTTATTCAACAATCCATCCATTCATTCCCCAGCAAGTATGCGTGCTTGTCAAGGCCCTGGAGATTCCTCAGTGAGCGAGAGAGCTGGGACGATCTGTAGGCAGAGATCGCGAGGCACGGGGCGTCCAGGGTACTGGCTCTATCGCTGCAGCCTTCAGACCCGGCGCCTGTAGCCGGGACGAAATGAGCCCCTTGGGAGGGCGTTCCTCAGGCCTGGCATTCGGGGCCTGAGCCAGATGGTGTAGGGCTGCGAGAGGCCCTCCGGCGACTCTCACGTTCCGCTACAGAGCAACAGGACCCCTGGGGCGCCCTTCAATAGAGACTGGGTCCAGGAATCTGCATCCTCATCACGCATCCCAAGGCGTCCGCGGCCCACACCTTGGGCGACGCGGACCTGGCTGAAGCCCAGGTCGTGAGCTGGGGCCAGGGCGTCTTCCCCACCCTGTCAGACCGCGGTCAGCTACAGGGACAGCGGCTGGTGCCTAGGTTACCACATGGATCCCCCACCGGTTCCTGAGCTGAGTCCCGTCACCGACGGCCCTAGCACCTATCTCTTCACCCCCGCAGCTGGCCCCGCACCTAGAATCGTACCTGAGGCTCCCCTCATCCCGTACCTGGGCCCCGATCCCTGATTTCGTGCACCTGCCTTCCCACCTCGCGCCCGGCCCTGCACCCTTGACCCAATGGGGCCGAGACAAAGCCGCTCCGCCCCAGTCACCCCTAGTGCAGGCCCAAGGCGGAGTCGCTCCGGTTCCGGTCGCACCGAACTACCCAGTTTGTGCGGTGCGCGGCCCCTGAGAACGTATTAACCAACGTCGTGGTTTCTCAGTCTTCTCTTTGTTGTACTCCGCTCAGCTGGTTCTCAGAAACGACGGCATCGGCCTCACTGAGGAGCAGCGGCCGGCGAAGTCGGTTGCAAACGCCCCGCCCGCCCCGCGCACGCTAGTCCCCGCCACGGGTGGGGGGTCCCGGGCCGGTGCCGGGCTCCGACCCGGCCAGTCGGGCAGGGAGAACCGCCGCGTTCCAGAAGGCCGAGAAAGAAGAAGCAATTCGTTGCTTCTTCCACCTCCCTCTCCGTGGGACAACTAGATAAACGAGAACTTCATATTCGGTGTCCGGAGCATCGCCGCCGGCTCCCTTGGAAAGTCGTTTCACAAGAAAACAAAAACAAGCACCCCTTCTCCGCCCGCGCCCCGCCGACAGGTGGGAAGAGGACAAAAAGGAAGTGAAACGCCTTGAGTCAGCGCGCGGAGCCGTGAGTCAGCGGAGAGGCGCGGCCGGGGCGGAGTCGCTAGAGCCGAACTCGCGCACTTCCCGCGGCCCGGCGGACCAGGGCGGCGCCGTAGCGGGCCTTGGTCATGGCAGGCGAGGCGGCGCAGCGCGGGGCCGAACTGCTGGACTTCGAGCAGTTCCGGGACTCGAGCTCGCCGCGGCTCCCCTACGGCTATGGGCAGCGCAGCCTACGCGAGTTGCGGGAGCGCGAATTCAGCCGCCTGGCAGGTGAGGAGGCGCGAGGGCGGCGGGCTGCCCGGCGGGGCACCTCCGCGGGGGCGACCTTGGCGCTAAGCGGTTTCTGGAACCGACGTGGAAGGAGCATGTGCTCCAGGCGTGAGCGCATTTGAATCGGAAAATCAGGAGGGACGAGTCCACGCGTCCGCTTAATGGACGCGGCTCCCTGAGTTCTCACCTGCAGCCCAACACTTCTTGCTCCTTTGACTTTTAAGTGGCGCAGGGCCAACCCAGTCCTCTTTCATCTTTCCCCGCCTCCGTGAGCAGGGTTTAGGATTCTCATTGCCGTCGCTTGCCCAGAGACCTAGACTCTTAAATGTCCAAGCCGAGCTGGGGTTGTAAAACACAGGAATACCCAGCAGCCAGGACTGCTTGGATGCCCGCCTAGGGGCAGGAGCGCGCTGGGCGGCCAGCTTGCCGGGTTTGGACGACAACTCGACTGGCGCACGGGGCAGAGGCCTCGAGGGGCTGCGCTTCAATTCTTCTGGGATTGCCCTCAAGAAGTTTCCGTTTTCGAAGCCTCATTTTTTTCACTCGTGCGGAGTCAGAACAGTGCACCCTAGCGCTGGCTCAGAGAATTAGCGAATTATGCAATTTGAGCTTTAAGTACAGGGCGAGCCTGTTAGTTGGACAGGGATCACATTGTGCCTTTGAGGTTTCCGGATGAAGGGACCGCAAGGAGGAACAGCCTGGGCACAGGCTTATCAAATTGAAAGCAAGCTCGATATGGCCCTGCGGCTAGGCCCAGCCCACTGCTGCTGGGGTTTAGGGGCTGGGGGGCTTTCCTCCAGCTTCAGCATCAGGTTCCAGGTGGTCAGAGAGGGGCCATAGTTAAGTGGGCAGGTTGTGGTGCCCGGCACAGGGTTTTGGCTGTATTTATTCTGTCGTGATGAGCAAATGGTAACTGCTAACCTGCTTGTCAACTTCGATTGAAGTTGTCAAGGATTTCATCTTGCTTGGATCCATGGTCAACACCCATGGATGCAACAGTCAAGTCAAATGACGCATTGCATTGGGCAAATCTGCTGCAAAAGACCTCTTGAAAGTGCTAAAATGCACAGATGTCACTTTGAGGACTAAGGTGCGCCTAACCCAAGTCATGGTATTTTCGATTGCCTCATATGCATGCAAAAGCTAGACAATGAATAAAAAAGACCAAAGAAGAATTTATGCCTTTGAATTATAGTATTGGTGAAGAATATTGAATATACCATGGACTGCAAGAAGAACAAACAAATCTGTCTTGGAAGAAGTACAGCCAGAATGCTCCTTAGAAGTGAGAATGGCGAGACTTCATCTTACATACTTTGGACAGGTTATCAGGAGGGACAAGTCCATGGAGGACATCATACTCGGTAAAGTAGAGGGTCAGCGAAAGAGAGGAAGACCCTCAGTGAGATAAATTGACACAGTGGCTGCAACAATGGGCTCAAGCATAACGATTGTGAGGATGGCGCAGGACCCGGCATTGTTTCTTGCCGTCGTACATAGAGTCACTGTGAGTCAGAAGCAACTCATGGCACCTAACAACAACAACCTGCTTGTGAAGAAGTTCTGGTGGTGCAGTGTTAAAGTGCTCAACTGCTAACTGAGAGGTTGGCCACCCTGCAGGAGAAAGATGTGGCAGTCTGCTTCTGTAAAGTTTACAGCCTTGGAAACCCTGTGGACAGTTCTACTCTGTTGTATAGGATCGCCATGAGTTGGAATCACTCCATGGCAATGGGTTTTACCCTGCTTGAGGCGGTACAGCAACCATGACTTACAATGTCATTCATCGGGTCTCTGATTTCAGCTCTGAGGGCTGTGTTCTCCTCCTGCGTGACCCCTTTTTCTGTTTAAGAAGGAAGATTCAGAAGGGAGACAGAGGGCCGTTAGGCAGCCTCTCTCTGCTTCCTCCCCTCCTTCACAATGGGCACATTCACTTACTGGAAATAGCCTCTCATTCCTCTGCTTCTACATTGTCTCTCTGAGCTTTTTATTATGGAAATTTCCTCCTCCACACAGAAATAGAGACACTGGTGCAATGGACACTTGCAGATGTGGTGGGAGGAAGTTCCCCATTATTTTGAAGCAAATCCAAGCAAATCCAAGCAAATCATTCAGTCAGTAATTATTTCAGCACCACACCTCCTTAATCCCCTACATCCCCTCAGACTCTGATCCCTCACACCCATCCTTGGCAGATTTCTCCTCTCAGTAATACTAATACTCTGGGAAGGTGGAGGTAAATTCTAGGTCCCTCCTTGTTTCATTGTCTTCCTCAGAGAACAGCACCTTTCCCCTCAAATGCAAATTTTAGATGTGATAGCCAGGATCCCAGCTGGCCTCCAGATACCCTTTAACATCTACTGACTTTGCGTTCTGTCCTTTGTTTTAGTTTTAGTGCAAGTCCACAGCATTTTCTCTACATTATGGGTAAAGTAAGCTAGCTATTTATAAGATATATTCCTAGAAGAGGAATTACTAAGTCAGAGGGTATCTGCATTTTAAAGTGTGATCGGTATTGCCAAATTACTCCCATAAAGAAGTTGTACCGATGTACCCTCCTACTAGCCATGTGCAAGAGGCTTGTTTCCGCACATCCTCACCCACACAGCGAGTTATCCACCGTATGGATCCCTGCCAATCTGATTGGTAAACCGTGGCATCTCATTGTCATCTAAATGTGCATTTCTCAATTTACTAGAAAGGCTGGAAAGGTCATTTACATTCCTAGTATACTGTGAAGCTCTCAAAGCTGACCGAGGATTGAGGACTGAAAGGCAGAATCAGGACTTGCCTGCCAGGGAAGCTGCTCAGAGCAACCTCCAGAACAGGGGGGTGAGTCATAATGTGAAGTATCTCCACCATCACACATGTCTGGGGGCTCTTCCTGTGTGTGGGATGCTTTTCCAGGTTCACAGGGGAGCTGGTTCATCAGGAAGCCTCTCCAAGGGCTTTAAATATTAAGGTGCAGTTCTCTACATTGCTCATGCCAGCACTTAGATTAAGTAGCACAAACAGTTAAGCAATCAGTTACTTACTGAAAGGTGATAGTTCAAACCCACCCAGAGGTACCTTGGAAGAAAGGTCTGGTGATCTGCTTTTGAAAGGTCCCCACTATGAAAACCCTATAGAGCAGTTCGACTCTGCACATGTAGGGCTGCCACAAGTCAAAATTGACTTAATGGCAATTGTTTTTATGTTTGTTTTTTACCAAGAGACTCGGAGAAATCAGTAGCCTGGTGCATTATGTCTAAACGTATCAAATGAGGACTGGTCAGGCTCATGGAAAACAGATTGAGATCAAACAACTGGGATACCTGTGGAAAATAACACGCAGTTTGTCTTGTTTTTTTTCAGGAACGGTCTACCTTGACCATGCAGGAGCCACGCTATTCCCCCAGAGCCAGCTCACAAGCTTCACAAATGATGTCCTGAAAAATGTCTATGGTATGGAAAAACACACCAGAACTAAATTTTGTATTGAACATTAGCTAATTACATTCAGCTGACATTTTGGTACTTTGTACGTGTTGGCTAATAGCCTGGGACTGTGCTGAGCACGCAAAGCTGTATAAGCCCAATGTTGGAGGTGGGCAGACAAGCACCTGAGGGGTCACTCAGTGTTACACAAGCTGCTGGGATGGGAAGGACTGCCTCAGGGACACACAGGTTACTGCCAGAAGAGGGTCACAGTGAGGAGGGCCACAGAGGTGCAAAGGTGCTGTGTTTGGTGGTAGTGATGCAGTGTGACTGGTACAGTGGGGGAGGGCTGAAAGAGCATTCATTCATTCACTCATAAATGTTTGTCGAGCCACTGTGGTATGTGGGTGGAGTCTCTGGGTGGCACAAAAGGTTGAGTGCTCAACTATTAGCCAAAATGTTTGGCAGTTCGAACCCACCCAGAGGCTCCTTGGAAGACATGCCTGGTGATCTGCTTCCAAAAGGTCACAGTCTTGAAAACCCCATGGAGCAGTTCTACTCTGCACACGTGGGATTGCCATGAGTTGGAAACAACTCGACTGCAGCTAACAACAGCAGTGGTGTGTGAGGCATGGTGTTAGGTGTGGGGCTGTATTAGGAAGAAAATAAACAGTCCCTGCCTTCATGGAGACTGTGGGCTAGTTCTGGGAGATAAGATCTTAATCAAGTCATCTCACAAATAAATGTAGGAAGGGCTATGAACCAAAGGTCCTTGGTGCCAGGGGAGCCTGCACCTGCAGGGTGACAATGGGGTGGGCAGTGGGAATGTCAGGGAAGGCCTCTTTGGGAGTGGAGTGGATGCTGGAGTATGATCAGGAGTTCACTGGGAGAAGAGGAAGTGAAGGGTATTTCAGGCAGAGGGAAAGGGAACAGCATGTGCAAAGTCCCTGTAGTGGCTTCAGGAACCAGCCCAAGGGCACAGAGGGTGTCAAGGAGAGTGGTAGAGGGATGAATGGAAAGGTAGGCAGGGCCATGCCCACACAGGGCCTTTTAAACCCTCTGAAGAGTTTGATGTTTATTCTTGGAACAGTGGGCATTCACTGAAGGTGCTTAGCAGTAGTACCTTACCAGTGGATAAGCTTGGAAAGGTAGTTTGAAATAATAGCAGCAGTAGTCACTGTGGTAGTAGCAATGATAATAGCAATAAATAACATTTACCAAGCACTCCCTGTGCTTCAGGTACTGTTTCAAATGCTTTACATGTACCATTTCTCTTTATCCTCATAACAGTCTAAGAGTGTAGGTTCTGTTATCACCCCTGTTTTAGAGGTGAGGAAACAAGGCTGGGAGAGGTCAGGTATCGAGCCCCAGGTAACACAGCCAAGAAGCCTGGAAATGGGGGATTCGTCTCCAGGCAGTTTGGCTCTGGAGCGCAAGCCCTTAATCCCAGCCAGACTGCCTTGGTTCTGGATGGTCCTATTATGGTCCTATTATGCCAGGACCATTTTAGCCAAAGCCAGCAGATGTTTAAATCTGGGGAACAGTCTCCAGGGAAGATGCTAGTGAGGGACTTTATCTGTTCTTGATTTAATCTACGATTTGTAAAGAGGCCTGTAATTCTCCTTCTTTAATGTTTGCAAGAGTCATAACCATGGGAAAGGTGCTAGCCTGAGAGATGACAAACCAAGGTTGCAGGTGGCCCCAGTGATGCAGGGCTAAAAACCAAGGCTATGAGAGCAACAAGGATGTGTATACCAAGTCCCACAGGGTATGAGGACAAGGGACATCTGGTAGCTCCAATGGCTAGAAATCCAGAGTGAACGTATAGTGCGGTTTGGGGAAAGAAATTGAAAACAAAAAGGGCTAGGAATTTTTAATGTGCACATGTAGTCCTGCTCCTGAGAAACGCGGAGGTTTGGCCCCTGCAGGTCAACGCCCTCAAGAGATTTGGGTTCACGTTTGAGGACTGCATTTTTTTTTTTTCTTTTAAGTACAGTGCTGTGCTCCTTCATATTTTTTTCCTTTCTTTTTTTAATTTATTTTTTTGTTGTGCTTTAAATGAAAGTTTACAGTTCAAGTTAGTTTCTCATACAAAAATTTATACACACACTGCTATGTGACCCTAGTTGCTCTCCCCATACTGTGACGGCACACTCCTCCTTTCCACCCCAGATTTCCCGTGTCCATTCAGCCAGCTCTTGTCCCTCTCTGCCTTCTCATCTCACCTCCGGACAGGAGCTGCCCATTTATACTCATGTATCTACTTGAGCTAAGAAGCACAGTCTTCACGAGTATCATTTTATGTCTTATAGTCCAGTCTAATCTTTGTCTGAAGAGCTGGCTTCGGGAATGGTTTTAGGTTTGGGCTAAAAGAGAGTCCAGGGGCCGTGTCTTCTGGGGTCCCTCCAGTCTCAGTCAGACCATTAAGTCTGGTCTTTTTACTAGAATTTGAGTTTTGCACCCCACTTTTCTCGTGGTCTGTCAGGGACTCTCTGTTATGTTCCCTGTTGGGGCAGTTATTGGTGGTGGCTGGGCACCATCTAGTTCTTTTGGTCTCAAACTGATGCAGTCTCTGGTTTATGTGGCCCTTTCTGTCTCTTGGGCTAATACTTTCCTTGTGTCTTTGGTATTCTTCATTCTCCTTTGCTCCAGGTAGGTTGGGACCAATTGACGCATCTTAGATGGCCACTCGCTAGCTTTTAAGTCTCCAGACACCACTCACGAAAGTGGGATGCAGAACATTTTCTTAATAAACTTTGTTATGCCAGTTGACTTAGATGTCCCCTGAAACCACGGTCCCCAGACCTCCGCCCCTGCTACTCTGTCTGAGGGCTGCGTTTCAAAGGAGATGATGATACTCTGGGACACATTCAGAGGGGACACAGGAAGAGAGAGCAGCCAGAAATCAACAAGGAAACAGTAGAAATTGGGAGGCCTTAGACTTGAGAGAGGTCCTTGAGTGGCACAAATGGTTAAGCTCTGGGCTACTACCTAAAGGTTGACAGTTCGAACCCACCCAGTCTGCTCTTGTAAAGATTACAGCAGTTCTATTCTGTAATACACGAGGTCGCCATGAATTGGGATCGAGTCGATGGCAGTGGAGTAGCCTTGAGAATGGGTGGCTAAGGGAAGACGTGCAGGCCTCCTTCACAGATTTGGAGGAGATGAATTCTGCAGGAACAGGCCAGGAGTAGTGGTGAGGACTTAGATTAAGTGGTGCTTAAGCTGCTGTCTCATGGTTGGAGGACAGGGTAGCCTCCTGAGGTCCTGGACTTGGTTCTCTAGAGTTAGTGAACAAGACCGCTGGCCGCCTGCTGGGGAATCTGTAGAAAAGGTTCCTGCACTGGCCTGGCTGCCTCTGAGCTGACTCCCAGCTCAACATACTCATCCCTGGACTCTGTCTTGTTTCACTAGTGGGTGGGGGGAGGGTATTTTTGTTTGTTTGCCTAAATATTTGATTGAGTTATATTTTACATATCATAAAATTGACCTATTTCAGGTGTACAATTCAGTGGTTTTCAGTAACTTTACTGACTGGTGCAACCATTGCCATAAATCAGAACATTTTCATCCCCCAGTAAGATCCCTCATGCCCATTTACAGTCAATCCCCATCCCTACTCCCAGCCCCAGGTAACTAATCTACTTTCTGTCTCTATGCAATTGCCTTTGCTGGACATTTCTTATAAATGGACTCATGCAATATGCGGTCTCTTGTATCTGGCTTCTTTCACTTAGCATATAGCTTTTGAAGTTTACTCATGATGTAGCATATGTCAGGAGTTGGTTCCTTTTTATTGCTGAATAATAGTTTATTGCATAGATATGCCATATTTTTTCTGTCTGTTCACCAATTAATAGACAGTTATGTTGTTTCCAGAGTTTGGCTGTTATGAATAATGCTACTCTGAATATTTGCATGTAAATCTTTGTGTGAACATATGTTTTCATTTCTTTAGGAGTGGAATTTCCAGGTCATATGGTAGATTGTTTAACTTTTTTTTTTTTTTTAATTGTGATTAACTTTTTGAGAAACTGAGGGAGAAGCTTTTGAAGAAACACAAAAGGAGAGGCCATAAGCAGTGAGTTGACAACTTTGTCTTTGTAACCTTCCAGGTAATCCTCACAGCCAGAACATCAACAGCAAGCTCACCCATGACACCATGGAACAGGTGCGCTACAGGTGAGCCACAGGGATGCCAGCTGGAGCAGGCGCTCCTGCATGGATGGACTTCCTTCCCCTCACCTGCATGCATTCCACAAAGGTTCTGAATTGGTTGCAGGAAAATCGTGTTCAGTGAAATGGCAGTACACACATAACAATAAACATCAGGGTCAGAGGCCGGGAAGGTGAGGGTGAGCAGGTGCAGAGCAGGGCAGACAGAAGCACAGGCGGGCAGTTGTCAGGTGTGCAGAGCTCTTCTGGGTGGCTCTGGGCTGATGCCAGAGTTCCTGGGGTCCAGGGTGACAAAGAGTGACCCAGGTTCTTAAATCTCATTTTCAGAAAGAAGAAAAACATTATTTATTTTTTTCCACAAGATGTTTCATTAGCCATCCTGTCTGATTTCATCAAGTCTTTTCTCCTTCCTATTAGTACTTGGGTGTTAAACAGCTCTTTGTATTTTTTCACATGCTATAATTACTTTTAGCAAATAATTTCCAGATGGTAACTAAGGTTACTTGAATCAATACAGTTTCAAACTCTTTCCAATCTGAAAGTGATCCTGTTTTGCTACAAAGTTACCTGTATTAAGAACAATTGGAAACAGGTTAAGGACTTAGCCCTTGTTATGATAGAACTGGGTAATAGATCAAGGAAGGGGTATTTTCTACTAAGATTAAGGTAGTCATGGATTTTTGTCATTTTCAAATAAAGGTGGGGATTTGGGTGGCAAGGTTATTTTACCAATTTGGACTCATCTGTTGTCCTTCCTTCCCATCACTTCTTCTTCCCTAGCCCTAACTTCACAATGGTGGCAAAGCCTATCACATTTTTTCTAGCCATTAAGGTAGAGAAGGGCCCCTGGGTGGTGTGAACAGTTGGTTGTTCGAACTTACCCAGCTATGCTGTGGAAGAAAGCCCTGGCAGTCTGCTTCCATAAAGATTATAGCCAAGAAAACCCTATGGAGTGCAGTTCTTTCTACTCTGTAACACATGGAGTCACCATGAGTCAGAGTTGACTCAATGGCAGTGTGTTTGGTTTCGATTAAGGTATAGATATATTTAGTAGCTCTAATGCTCCCTCCAAACATGAAACCCAGAGGTCTGAGACCCAGTGTTGCCCATGATGCTGTGCTTCTCCTAGTGCTGCTGCTGATGCTGTGCTTTTCCCAGGGTCCTGGTGCACTTCCACACCTCCCCAGATGACTACACTGTGATTTTCACATCTGGGAGCACAGCTGCTCTGAAGCTCGTGGCAGAGGCCTTCCCATGGGTGCCCCAGGGCCCAGAGAGCAGCGGAAGTCGGTTCTGCTACCTCACCGACAGCCACACCTCTGTGGTGGGCATGAGGGAGATCACCACGGCCAGGAACGTCACTTCCATTCCGGTCAGGCCAGAGGACATGTGGTCAGCAGAAACCCAGGGTGCTGCCACCTGTGACCCTGATGGCCACCCTCCGCATCTCTTCTGTTACCCAGCTCAGAGTAACTTTTCCGGAACCAGGTACCCACTTAGCTGGATAGAAGGGATCAAGTCCGGGTGGATGTGCCCAGTGAACGCACCTGGGAAGTGGTTCGTGCTGCTTGACGCAGCCTCCTACGTGAGCACCTCGCCGTTGGATCTGTCGTTGCACCAGGCCGACTTTGTGCCCATCTCCTTTTATAAGATCTTTGGATTCCCCACTGGCTTGGGTGCTCTGCTGGTGAATAATCGCGTGGCTCCTCTGCTGAGGAAGACCTACTTTGGAGGAGGAACAGCCGCTGCGTACCTTGCAGGAGAAGACTTCTACGTGCCGAGACAGTCGGTGGCTGAGAGGTAACCCCGCAATGGGGAGTGGGGGTTGGAGTTGGGCAAGGCCAGGACTGCCAGGTGCCACCTGTAGGATTGCACAAGGGTCTGCGCCACTGGGTCAACAGGTCAGGGAGTTGGGCATTGCTGGCAAGGACAGAGACTGGCGGCAGGCTCAGATCTGAGAGGTCAAGGACGGCTAGAGCATGCTGAGGACAGCTGGGCAAACTCTGCCCTGCTCGTGGGCATCTCCATAGTTGTAAAGAACCAGGGCCTGCAGATAAGGACTGTCAGCAGAAGAGGTGAAAGGCCTTCAGGGGAGTGAGGAGAGTGGGCTGCCAGGCCTTTGTTCCACAGCACTGACAAGAGGTGGCAATAAATAAAGCAGTGACTTTAAAAGACAGCACCATTTGGACCAAGCGTACATACATGCTGACAGCACAGCCTGTTTGTCAGCAGCTGGAATCAGCTCAGCTTGGCAGCTGGTTAGCAAGAGGAGTCAGTTAAAGCAGAGGCCACTGGACTGTGGGGTGCTATTAACAACAGCCTTTGTGAGCCCCACGTGAGTTACTGAGGATGTGTGAGGGCAGGCTGCCACATGCCCTCACATGGCAGAGGCCTCTGCTGGTATTTGGTGGCATGCATGCCTTCCTCAGTCTCCAGGGCAGGTGGCGTGGGCCTTGCCCAGGGATCTCCCAGATAGCGGTGGCTGAGACCCCTGAGGTTGAATGTGTGAGAGGGAACAGCAGTGCCCAACAGTGAAAACACCATTTTCCAGTGCCCCTCAGAGGTTGGGAGAGGGAACTAATCTCCCTGCTGGTGCCTGAGAAGGGCCTTGAAGCCTAATGGGACATGAGTCAGATCCCCCACTGGCCCCCGCACAGACTCAAGGGTCCTGCTGATGGGGTGTGGCCTTGGCAGTAGAGTATAGTGTTAAGAGTACAGGCCCGGAGTGGACTGCTCGGGGTGAACCCCGGCTCCAAGACAAACCAGCTGTGGGAACAGACACATGTGATTTGACCTCTCTGCACCTTATTTTTTTCTTCTGTAAAATGGGGATGATGATACCATCCTTTTAGAGCTAACACAGGGGAAGTGCCAGGACGGAGCAGGTATTCAATACATGTTGTAAGTCTGTATGATGGCTTTTTATTTGGGACTTCTCCATAGTAGGAGGGATTCTAAAATAGGAATGTTGATGTAAACTTTTTTGGACCCAAGTGTGATAATTTAGTGTGTAATACAATCAAGTGAGAAAAAGAATGACAGGTACAATATAATATAAATGAAAAGCAGGACAAAATGTCGCCCCAAACTTTATTTGGCCAACAGGGGCACCTGAAACTCAGAAAATTGGGGCAGCTCATTAGTGGGCAGGGCATGGGGGTGCTGGGCAGGGTGTGTGGTGGGGCTGGGTGGGGAATGAGGGGACTGGGTTGGGCCAGACCTCCTTCCTTTGATTCAGGGTTGATTGCCTTGCTGCAGACACTGTACCACAATCCCCACAAAGTGGCATACATTCCTTTACCATTATAAGCCTAGCTTTTGTCTTATGAACTAGAACCAGAACACAAGATATGTATTATCTAACCCAAAGGTTAATTAAATATGTACCTGGACCATGTTCTTAACCTTTTGTAATTTATAACTCAATGAGATGCAAACCATGATAGAAACAAAAAATCCCCTCCCTTCTTATTCTAAGAAAGAGTCTATCAGTTAATTTTTTATGAATAAACAATTATTTATTATTGATCAATAGGTCATTATTAATGATGTTTTACCTATTATTAATTCATTGGTAATTATTCAATTTATAATTAGTTATTGATTATTGATTCTGTATGTCTATTAACTAACATTAGTTTTATAATGTTTGTAGTTATAATGCTTTGAGTTAATTTTATTCCTAGAGTGTTAACACACAAAACATCATACTTCCATTGGAAGCTTCAACTTGCATAAGGCCTCTGTTGTTACTGCACCTCCCTCACCCGCATGCTTGCTGCAGCCTCCCCCTGTCTCCTGGCTTCCTTTCTCACCCCTGCAGTCTGTTCTCCCCCCAGCAGCCAGAGGGATCTTGTTAAAACGTAGGTCCCATCCCGTCACTTCTCTGCTCAGAGCCCTCCAGCCACTTCTCATCTCATTCAGGGCAGAAGCCAAAGTTCCTCTCATGGCAGCTAGGCCCTTCTTGCTGGGACAGTGCAGCCCTCTGCTTCTCGGACCCTGTCTCCTACCATCCTCCCCTTTGTCACTCTGTCCCAGCCGCCTCGAGCTCTTAGCTGTGCTCAGGGCCCACTGCACTGTCTCTCTGTATGCGCTTTCTCCCTCACATCCACCCGCTCTCTTCCTTATCTCTGCAGAGTCTTTGCTCACGTGATCTTCCTCAGAGAACACTCACCTGAGCATCTCATCTAAAGTAACCACCACCCCTTCCTGCTAATTCATCTTCATCGCACTGCCACTACCTGGCATGTTATTTATGTGGCTTTTGCGCGCGTTTGTTGTTTTTTGGTCCTGTTCCTGTGCCCTCGTGAGAATGTGAGCACCATGAGGGCAGGGATTTTGGCCTGTCTTGTTCATTGATGTATCCTTCTGCACCTCGAGTACTGCCTAGCATACAGTCAGTAAAGACTTGATGAGTATTTTGACTAAGTGATAATTATAAAACGCAAATATAATGAATACCTTGATAATCAGGAAGGTGTGCACCTGATGTATTATTGAGAGGTGTGTAATTTTTACCAAAGCCCGCGGTTCCATAGATTTTGGCACTCTCTTGTTCTGAATGTCAGAGCTGTATGGTTTGGTTCATCACTGAATTGATGCCCTGTCAGTGGTGCCCTCTTGTGGTCAAAGGGCAGCATTTCAAGAGCCCAAGACATTAGAAATTTTGTGAAGTCCGAAGTCTTCCTGGGACAGCAAAGAATCTCTTGGCTCTCGTTAGCATTTCAAGTGACTGTTTTTCCGAAAGGTCACGCCTTAAAAACCTTGTGGAATGCCTCTACTCTGCAAACATGGGGTTGCCATGAGTCGGAATTGACTCGACAGCAATCAATAACAGCAACATCGCCACTTCCAGCCTGTCCTAGGACGTTTGGAGCAGCCTCAGAAAGCTGCAGAGCACGTTAGGGCCAGAGGCAGCTGCACAGACGGGTCTTGGTGTGTGAAGCAAGCCCTTTCTCCTGAGGGGGAGAGCAGGATTTCATAAGGGCCACAGAAGGAAGGTACTGATAGATCATGGTTTAGTTGAAAATCAAAATCCCGTTACATACCACAAAATGCCCATGCAGACGTTGGCCACAACTTGACTTCATTCCCCTTACCACGTTATAGGTTTGAAGATGGCACCATCTCATTCCTTGGTGTGATAGCGCTGAAACATGGATTTGACACCCTCGAGCGCCTCACAGGTCAGTGGACACTTGTATCTGCATGGAATTTGCTCCTGTTGCCCGAATTCTTTTTTTTCTTTTTAACAAACAGAAATTTATTCTTTCACAGTTTAGGAGGCTAAAAGTCCAAATTCAGCGTGCCGGCTCTAGGGGAAGGTTTTCTCTCTCTGTTGGCTCTGGGGGAAGGTCCTTGTCTCCTTTCAACATCTGTGGGCTGGTGTTCCTTGGGGATCTCCATGTGTCTTGGCATCAATCTTCCCCTGGGTCTAGGAGCTTCTCAGCGCAGGGACCCTAGGTCCAAAGGATGTGCTCTGTTTCCAGCTTTTCTTTCTTGGAGGTAGTGAGGACAGACCTCAAATTCAGCTCTGATAAGGTGTTAGACTTTTAGGGCTGGGCTTTAGAGATCATCTATTCAATTCTTTGTTTTAAAATTGAAGATACTGACCCTACTCCTAAAGCCACGTGTCTGCTTGGTGGCACAGTCATGATCTATAGCTGTATTTTTTTTTTTAAATTTTTTAAAATTGTACTTTAGATGAAGGTTTACGGAACAAATAGTTTCTCATTAAACAGTCAGTACACATATTGTTTTATGACATTGGTTAACAACCCCACGACATGTCAACACTCTCCCTTCTCAATCTTG